TTTAATAATCCGACCTTTACCCCCCCCATTCTTTTTTATTGGTCCCAACCGGTCATGTAACCTGTTATAACAGGTTACATGACACATGGCGGCCTGTGATTGGTAAAAAAAAAATGATAATATTTAGAAAAATTTTAAAGAAAAAATAAATAAAATCAATAATTATTTACAAAACCACCACCAGCCCAAGACTTCCTCGCTGCCCCTGACATCCCTGCCCCGTGGCTCTGGTCACCAGGACCCCCAGTGACAGCGCCGGCGCCGGCGTTGGCCTGAACCCCCTCGCCTGAAGTACCAACCCGCCTTCCCACCCCAAATTGTTGATTGGTGAAGGTCGAATTATTGATTTAATGTTGTTGGGTTGCGCGAAGTTCGGCGGTTGTAGGTTGTGCTGCGAGCTGAGGTGGTTTCGTGGTGGTTAAATTGTTGATTGCAGGTGGCGGATTAGTGATTGCGGGTGGCGAATTGGTGATTGTGGGGGCTGCGATGCTTAATATGGGCGAAAATGGCAGTGCGGTGGAGATGGGTCTTGCGGCTGACGGTGATGAGGTGGAGATGGGTCTTGCGGCTGATGGTTTAGGCTAATAGGTCGGTGGTGATAGTGGTTATTTGGTGTTGCGGGTTGTGCGGTGTTGCGGGGCTGCTAAATGGTGGTTTCGTGGGATTGTGGTTGATGTGTGTTTATAGGGGTGCTGGTCGCGGCGGGGGTGGCGGGGTATTGCAGGGGTGTTCAAAGGGTAGGGGAGGGGCGTCGCTGGCGTCGGCGCAGGGGAGGGGTGTTTGGGCGCTACCGGGAATGGGGGGATCTGGGAGGTGGCCGTGGTTGGTGGTGGGAAGGGTGGTTGTGGGTGGGACTGTTAATTTATTTATTTTTTCTTCTTTGTTTCTTTAAATTTTTTTTTTTGACCAATTAAGTAATTACAAGTGTAAATTAATCAAAAAAATAAATAAATAAATTTACCTTCTCAACCGGTTTCAGGTAAAATGGGACCATTAAAAAAGAATGGGGGGTAAAGGTCGGATTATTAAAAAATAACTCAAAGATGGGATTATTAAAAACAAATGGCCCAAAGGTGGGATTATTCTCATGAATTTTTCCTATTGTTTATTTAGTAGTAGTTGATAATTATTTCTTTAAATTACAATTGTTTTTCTGACCCACCAATATTTGATTATAACCTAAAGGTGGGCAACGTGACGTGCCGGGCCGTGCCGTGCCGTGCCACCCAAAATCGCAGGCCAGCCCACGGCACGGCACGACCCACGTGCCGAGCGGGCTCGTGTCGGGCTGGCTTTGTGGGCTGCTGCCTTTGCTTCCTTTTTTTTTTATTTAATTTTTAATTGTTTATAACTTATAAGTTATAATCTTATATTATTATTTTTCTAAAATAAATTAAGTTTAATATTTATGTTTTATTATTTTTTATTTTTTATATTTAATATTTATATTTATATATTTAGTTTATACTATTACTTTATAGTTTAATGTTTATAATTTATTATATTTATTTTTGTATTATTAATTACTAATTATTATAATTTTTTTTGTTATATTAATTTACAAATTATAACTTAACGAGAAATAAAGGATAATTGGACTTTGGATGTGAATAATGCATACTTCATATTATTATTACTTGAAAAAATTGTACAATGATAATAATGATAAAAATCGTACAAGGATATTAAACAAAAATAGGATAATGATAAAAATCGTAAAATGATAATGATAAAAATCGTAAAATATACAAAAATTGTCTATTCTTCTTCTTCTTCTTATTCGTCTTCGTCTTCGTCTTCGCCTTCAAGGTCATCGGCTAGTTGCATAGATTGGGAACTAGCCGAACCCAAACGGTCGGAAGCGGAGGTTCCTTCATTGTTGTCGTTGTCGTCGTAAGAACGATCTTGTGAGCGATTTTCAGCATCTAACCAATCTTTGAAACACACGCACGTTTCAAGTGTTTTAGGTTTTAGACTTGTTCTTCTATCGTCTAAAACCCTCCCGGATGCACTGAAAGCTCGTTCGGAGGCAACGAAGGAGACTTGGATACCAAGAATGTCTCGTGCCATTGCCGCCAAAGTTGGATGCTTCGTGCTTTGTTGTTTCCACCATGCAAGGGGGTCGAGGCTGTTTATCTCATCGTCATCTATACCCTTGGTGAAGTCGTAACTCAGGTAAATTTGAAACTCCGAGACATCGCTTTGCGTTCTCCTTATTGATGTATCACCTGAAAACCTTGAAATCAAGTTCGTAGCTTGTGAAAATAAATGTTTGGCCTTTTTACTTACGTTTTTGGATGGTTGAGAAGGGCCTGAGCGAGGAACGGTGCCATATTTGGTTTCATAGACTCTAAATAAAGCAAAAAACTGATCCTTCACATTACTCTTATAGGTATCTACATTATCGTCAAGAAGCATGCACTGAAAATAAATGCCAACTAACATAAATGTATTTTCATACTTTTGCCTAGGATCTAATATGGAAGCAAAAATATAAATCAAAGGAATTTCACTATAATCTTTACGCCACTTTGTTTCCATTGCTTGATCATAATCACTTTGGTTGCGATAATTAGCGAAAAGTTGGGCGAGTAAACATGCATTTGAAAGAAAGTTTTGAGCACAAGGATTGTAAACAGTCTAGAAGAAAAACAATACATCATATTATATAATAACTGTAAAAATTGCATATATCGTTCACATTTATTCCAATCATCCTCATATATAGCATTGTTTGGAAATTTTTGGTTGTAAAAAATTGTCAACAGATTCTTGTACTCAATTGCCTTGGTTAGCATGTCATAGGTGGAATTCCACCTAGTTGGGCAATTGGTTTTGATTTTTATCGCTCTTATCTTTTATTGCTTTAGAAAACTCTTCCATTCTTGGTATCTCATGTTTGAGCTATTAATAGACATAATAGCATCTCTAATTTTGTTGTAGTATGAACCAATTGCTCTAATTTCATCCTGTACACATAAGTTAAGAACATGAAAAACACATCTAGTATGAAGTGCATCACCATTTAATATTACATTGGTCAAGTTTTGTTTGACATAATTAGCTGTATACGTCATTGAGGTTGCATTGTCAAATGTCATAGACATGATTTTTCTTGAAGGTTGTATTCATTTATTGCTTCCATTAAATAGTTAGCAATGTTAATACCGGTGTGGGGGTATTCCAGCATTTTGAAATGGATTATTCGTTTTTGTAACAACCATTGATCATCTACCCAATGGCAAGTCACACATAAATAGTGATATTTATAACCACTATCCCAAGAATCGGCAGTCAAAGACACTCTACAATTAAGTTTACTCAATTCGTCTTGTAACTGCATTTTGTACTCTAGGAATTCCGTCAGAAGGCCGTTTTCCAACGGAATTTCCGATGTTTTCGACGGAAAAATTCCGCCGGACGGCTGTTTTCTTGTAGTGGTCCACAATAAATTATTAGTATGAACCAGGTCCATTTAAGAGTTTGTATGAGAATTGACCCCGAGATCAATGTCTTAACATGTAGATTTTAAGGAAAAAATTGTTTAAGATACAAATATATTAGTTTTGTTACTACATTTTTTTTTGAGGGATTGTTACTCCGGGTCTGTTAGACGTTAGCTTTAAAGGTAGTTGTTAGCTTTTATACCTAGTCAAAACACTACCTTAAAATAATATTTGTATTTGGTGAAGTAGTGTTTTAACTAGCTGTTAGAAGTAGAGGTAGCTTTTAAGTAGCTGTTGTTGAAAGCTAAAAAAGATAAGCTTTTGAAATTTTAAACTAGCGTTCAACCTTATTTTTAGTTTTATTTATTTATTTATTTTTGTTTTTCTAATGAATCTATTTTTTTTAGTTTTTATCTTTTTGACTCAGTATTATATCAGGTTTTCTACTCTGTATCCTTTTCTCTCTCTATTTGTTTTTTTTAATCTTATTTTTTAAAATTGATTGCTTAATAGCATTATATATTATACTACATAATATTTATAATTATCAGACATATGATACACAACACATTTATAATAATAATAATAATAATAATAATAATAATAATAATAATAATAATAACCGTCTTTTATAGTTTCAATCGCTACTTTTACCAAACACTCACTGTATGAACCACTACCTTGACAGCTGACCTTTAACAACTACTAATTGCCAGCTCACAGGTACCTCTACAGCTAACAGCTACTCAAAAGCTAATAGCCAACAACTACAACTAGTTTTGCCGAACAGACCCTACATTAATATCAAGCTTAATATATTAGATTCTTAAAAAGGGTAATAAGACCAACTAAAACTCAAAAGGTGTTCTTGTTAGGTTTTTCACATTCAGTATCCATGATACTACAATAATTTGTTCATTACTAACTTAATATTAATCTTATTAAACAACTAGAACTCAATACACATTCTTATCAAGTTTCTCAGTCATCAAATGTTTTGTACAATTCCAGAAGTTTGTCAAAAATAGATTAGTAGATTCAAATAACAAAACAAAACTGATAAATTAAGTGGAATATATATTTAACAATCTAACAATAACAGTTGGACTAAAAAATTAGAGGTTACCACACTTTGGTGATAGATAACAATTCAAGTTATGTACTGTTGAATATTTTCCTTAGAAATGAACTAACGGGACTGAAAATTAGTTTAATTCGGGTAAGGAGTGTATTAGCTTAATATGAGTATGAATGAAGTACTCAAAATACTCTCAATCTTTAGAGCATTTAAAAAATGAAAAACATTGCCGGAAAATTTCTCACTATTAATGCATGTTTAGCACCAAGAAATTACTCTCGCCTAACTTGCTTTGTAGCGCCATTTTCCCAATTAATTTCCCCCTCTTTTTTTATTTGGTTTATGGTGACATAGCGGCTTTTTATTGGGGCCCCACATACACCTTGTGCATGTGTATCATCTCTCGTTACATTTGTCCCACCGTCCAACACCACAATGTCAACAAATGTTTCCCTTCCCCTTTATAAAAGCCCAAAACAAGATGCGTTGCTCAAAAACCCGAAACGCACTCCAAAATGTTGTCTAACAAGCTACCATTTACAACAACTATAATCCTCTTAATTATATTTATTTTTCCTAATTATAACTTTGCTTATTATCACAGTCTTCCAGAGAGTGAAAATAATGGTGGATCATCTTCTTCATTTACACTTCCTTCAAACTTTCTCTTTGGTACTGCTTCTTCCGCATATCAGGTTTTAACTCCCTCATTAATTCCTCCAAACTTTATCATAACTTTTTTTTTTTTTTTTTTTTAATTTAGGATTTTATATAAGCTTCGATTCTCATTGGACTCATTTTCCAATGTAATAATTAGCATGCATGTCCTTTTTTATTTTTATTTTTTAGTTCTTCTTCAATTTCAGTATGAAGGTGCCTACTTAGTTGATGGTAAAGGGCTCAACAATTGGGATACTTTCACTCATATGTCAGGTTAATACTATATTCATATACTCCATTCCTTTTTTTTCTTTTTTTTTTTTTTTTTTTTTTTTTTTTTTTTTTTGTAAGCTGGAGATGAGATTGTACGGAGTTTTAATAAATTAAGATGTTAGTGAGGTAAATAAAGTTATTAATTTATTAAAAAGTAAAGTGGTGTGTGAGGGAGTGAGGACCATTGGAAGAGTGAAAAATGATAAAGTAAGAAAGAGTGAGGACATTAATAGATAAAGCTATATTATTAAATTATAAGAGATTTCCAAAAATGAAACTCTAGCTTATAAAAAAAAGGGAGAGAGTACTTTTTTTTTTTGGTAGGTAAGGAGGAGGGTCTTATTGGACTAGAACCTCTTACTGACTAATCCGACCTATTAGCGGATTAGGTCTTTGGAAGTGGGCGTAAGGATAAAAGAATTCCTACTCCAAATTTTCCCTTAGTGTGGTTTGATCCCATAGTATGACCGAGTTTAAGATTCTAAATCCATCATATGGACTAACTTTATCTATAAATTATACTTCCTCTGTCACTTTATTTTGCACCATAAAGTCATAAACCCAGTTTTTGTAAAAGGTTTTTCGGTCAAATGGTATAAAAAATGAAGGACATAGAAAGTGCAAAATATTTTATTTAATACTCTCCTTGTCCGAAAGTAATTGGCACGTTAAACATGTTTTCACTATTCACTCTGACTATTGTTTTCTAGAAATGTAATAAATACATATTTTATCGTGAAATATGTAGTTCAATAGATATTAATATAAAGTTTCTTAATATAATTTTTCTTACAAATGGTATAAAAAATGAAGTACATAGAAAGTGCAAAATATTTTATTTAATACTCTCCCTGTCCGAAAGTAATTGGCACGTTAAACATGTTTTCACTATTCACTCTGACTATTGTTTTCTAGAAATGTAATAAATACATATTTTATCATGAAATATGTCGTTCAATAGATATTAATATAAAGTTTCTTAATATAATTTTTCTTACAATTTTTTATTTATATTAATACATAAAATTAAGGTCAAATTAAGTGTATCGACATGTGTGTAAATTTGACCTGTGTCAATTATTCTGGACATAGAGAGTATTAATAAATGACAATAGAATTTGTATCAAAGAACAACTATAACAATTAGGCCTCGTTTGGTTGCATTTGGGATATAGAAATACATGAAAAATTATAATTCATGGGAAGTTAATATTCCTAAGAAATGCTAAAATCATGTTTGGTTGATAGGAAGGAAATTGAATTTCCCATTTAATTTCCTATGTTTTGTTTGGTTAACCTTATGTATATCTCATGTATTATGACTTCCTTAACTACTTTTTGTATAAATAAATATATTTTCCAATTTTTTGAGGGTAAAATTGTAATTTTATCCAAAAATACATAAGGGAATTTTGATTGACCAAGGTATAGTGGGGGAATTAAATTCCCATGTTTTGGAGGAATTTCCATTTACCAAGGAAATTCAACTTCCCACGTATATGTCAACCAAACAACTATTCATATACTCACTTTCCATGAATTTTTATTTCCACCATCAGTAAAGTGTAACCAAACAAGACCTTAAAGAGAGATGATATTTTGAATAATTTTTTTTTAAAAAAAAAATTATTACCACGCATTATAAACATATTGTATACGGTGATTTGATCTTGTACCTAATTGCCGAACAATCTAGTTGTATCCGTACCGTGATACCCTTGACAAATTGAAACACAATTTGTGACAACTGACAAGAAATATAATTTGACGATATTTTAGATTTTGAAAGAGAACGAATATACTTGTACTGATGGGACTCGTGACAGTATGGAAATGAGCTGATGTAAATCATTTGATGCTTTGACAATAATAATTGGATAAGCAATTTCCAAATATAGCTTAGGTTAATCATAATTTAGAATAAAGCCCTAGATTATGATAGTAATCGTACAATATTTTGAATTTGAGGTGGATGCAAGCAAAGAGTGTATTCGTCAGTTTGAGTTACTAGATGTATTAGCGTTTTTGTAAAAGCGTGTGTAAACTGATCAATAAGGACATTGAAATAATTTATTAGTATGTAGTAAATTTGACAGTATTTCAATGTTTCTTACACTCCTCTAATCAAACCTACTCTTGTTTCTTTGTTTTACAAAAAGATTTTCTCCTAAATGTTGCATTTTTTGTCTCTTAAACAGGAGGGATATTAGATAAGAGCAATGGAGATGTTGCGACTGATCACTACCACCGATATCTGGTATAACGTTACTAAATCATTAAGAATAATTTCATTTCATTGATTAATACATGTCAAGAGACAATTGATAAAGCTAAAATAAGATTATTAATTATGAAATGCTCAATATGAGTAATAATATTTATTCAAAATAATACAGTCCTACAATTACAATTATTTTGGGGTCACAATATTAAAGTAATTAAATTTTAATTAAAAATTGTAACAATATTTACAAATATTCTGAAAATGAACAAGAGTTATATGATTGAATTTTCTGGCTCAAAATTTGTAGATTTTTATTTTTATGAGTGTGTTATCTATTACTTCGTAGTATCAATTGACTGTTGGTGTAGTGGTGATTGGGGTTGCTCCTGGTAAGGAGGATCGCGTGTTCGATCCCCGCAACAACAATTGGGAGGAGACTGAAACCTAGCTATCCAGAACTTAACCCCAAATTCAGATTAGCTCAAAGGGTGAAGCGTGTGGAACACAAAAAAAAAAAAAAATCTATTACTCCGTAGTATAATCGAAGAAAATGTGCATAACACTAGTGTTAAAAGAAGAAAGCGAAAGTGCATGCATGTAACGTGTGCTTCTTTGCCCTTTTGTCTAATATACTACGTAATATATACTCCGTATATGTGTAAATTACTAAATTGACATTTGTGTTGGACAGTCGACACCCCATATAAACACATAAGCATGCTGCCAAATATAGTTAGCATTGGGACCATACTCTCTTGCTTGGTCGATCCACAAAAAAGGCACAAAAATAAACAACAAACTATACTTATTACGAGAACATGATAAAAATGTCAAAAAAAAAAAAAAAAAAAAAAAAAAAAAGGATAAAAAATGTCGCTTTAAAAAATGTCACTTTTAGATAACAGAGGAGTATACGAGCGAGGGATGTTGATATGGAGCAATGTTACATCCACCCACTAAATACAATATAAAAGTATCATTAATCATATTGTGTTGTATTTCACTATCAGTATCTATTACTATTCTGTATTAGTAGTGGGTAGTTTACTTAGTGGGTAGACAGTTTTTAGTGGGTAGACAGTTTTTTTTTTCGTTGATGTGTTCCTTTGATTCCTAGCATGGTAATGTACCGTGTGGTAAATAGTAAATGCAGAGTAGTAAACATGCGGGTTAAATTAATGGGAATTGTACCATTTCGGGGGAAATGCAGTTGAGACTTGAGACTAGATCAAGAATGATCGATATTGACAAAATTGACAGTTACTAATCTTACTATCAGTTACTTACTCAACAACTTACTATATCAAGTTATCAGACATAATATTCCTCCGTCTCAGATTAGTTCTTACACTTTCTTTATTCATTTCAATTTTGACAATAACAACTATACAATCTAGCTAATCAATATTCACCTTGGTGAAACAGGAAGATGTAGAGCTGATGGCTGATCTTGGACTCAACAGTTATCGTTTCTCGATATCATGGGCTCGAATTTTACCAAGTAAGCTCATGTTTACAATAGCCATTACACTATAAAAAAGTATACAAAGTTCGTTCAGTTTATACTCTATACATAAAACAGCTAACAGGTAGTTCTAAAACTGCTCACTGTCACTCAATTTACATAACAGAAGGAAGATATGGAGTCGTTAATTTAGCAGGCATCAGATTTTACAACCAGCTCATTGATACTCTACTTGCTAAAGGTTTGTTCTAAGATACGAAAAGAGAACATGCTTTCAGGAGTTTAAGTCTTACAGAAAAAATTACTCTAACAAATATTTTACCTTTTACTTCGGCTAAGTAAACTCATCTGAGTTATTTTTACTTCCGTACGAGCAGGGATTCAGCCTTTTGTGACACTGAGCCACTATGATATCCCTCAAGAACTCGAGGACAGATATGGCGGATTGCTTAGCTCTGAAATACAGTAAGCACATATGAAGCATGAAACCAATTATGCATTCTTCTATAAACTAAAATCAGTTTTCAGAAATCCAGCTTCCACCGAGCTTTTAAATTTAGGAGGTCTAGTATAAATCACTAAATTTTAAAACATTGAATAAGTTCAGAATCCACAAGTGCTTCGAAATGAGAAGAGTACTAAAGAATTGATACTTGCAGGAAAGATTTTGCATACTATGCGAATATCTGCTTCAAATACTTTGGGGACAGGGTAAAATACTGGGTCACCTTCAATGAGCCGAATGTTGATATTATTTATGGGTACCGTACTGGTGACTACCCACCAAACCGGTGTTCAGGCTTATTTGGAAACTGTTCAAAAGGAGATTCCGAGAAGGAACCCTTCATCGCTGCTCACAATGTTATCCTTGCTCACGCGGCTGCTGTAGACCTTTACAGAACCAAATACCAGGTAATGGTAATTGGAAACTATGCACAAGAATCTGGAACCAGCTTTATCAGTATATGAACTTGTAATTAAACTGCTGAGTACTACTAGGCCGGATTGGTATCAGTTAATTTCAATGTTTGGTTTTCAGATTTCAACAGTCGTACACATGTTAGTTGCATATTGAACTTAAAATCAGCGCTACACATACTGGTCATGTTAAGCATGAATTTAACAGCAGAAAACAGTAAAGTATTCCTATAACTTAAACCTCAAAAAGTTGAAAGAGCTAACAAACCTGCTACAAAGTATGATGTATTATTTGCTTTAGTTTGCAAAATGACACTTACGAAAATGTGATTGATATTGTAAAACAAGCAGGAAAAACAAGGAGGCATCATTGGGCTTGTTGTTAGCGCCATATGGTTTGAACCTATCAGCAACTCGCCATTCGACAAGTTTGCAGCTGAAAGAGCTCAGTCTTTCTTCATGAATTGGTATTCTAATAGCCTCTGTGTCATAAATAAAATTACTCTTACATAGTTACATATATTGAGAAAAAGGACTAAATGGTAAACGCTATTTTGTGCAGGTTTTTAGATCCAATCATGTTTGGAGAATACCCAGCAGAGATGCGAAAGATTCTGGGACCAAATTTACCAAAATTTTCAAAGAACGAGAAGAGGATACTAGATAAAGCACTTGATTTCATTGGTATCAACCACTACACTAGTTTTTATGCCCAAGACTGCATGTTCACAAGCTGTAAATCTGGATCGGGAGTTACCTGGACAGAAGGAGCATACCTGAGAACTCCATATAAAGAAGGCATTTCCATCGGCGAACCAGTAAGCAATCTTTGCAAATCAAAACCTTTTTTTTTTTTCTACTTAGATTGGATTGCAGATAAGAGCCAACAGATTGTCATAAGCTCACATAAGGGCAACAAAATTCAATTCAAAACAAAGAGCCGATGATCTTAGCATACTATGTATCTCTTATATTCTCGGGTGACTATATCATTGTGTTTTCATTTCAATTTGATACAGACAGCAATGGATTGGCTGTACATCCACCCACAAGGAATGGAAAAAATGGTGACCTATGTTAAGGATAGATACAATAATACACCCATGTTCATAACAGAAAACGGTAAGCTGGTGAAGATCGTTGTAATTTGAGGAGAAATTCCAATGCATTTTTGTGTCTTAAGTCAATTCCTTACTAACACTAAAAGTTTTATCTGGCAGGGTTTGTTCAAGAAAGCAATTCAAGTACTAGTGTCACCAAGCTACTCAATGACTCCAAGAGAGTGGAATACATGGCTGGTTACCTGGATTCAGTCCTAAGTTCTATTAAGTAAGTTTTCTAGGAATACTGTAAGTAGTAACCTTCCGATTCTTCTCTATTACTCCATTCGGAATTAAATGTCACATTGTCCTTAACCTTCATAATTATGGATTCACCATGATTTCACCAAAATCACCATAATCTATTTCTGTTTTAGAAACTGTGAATGGAAAGGCAACTAATTTTTGAATGGAAAGGCAATCTAATTTACCACGATATCTTAACATAGGTGGCTATTATTTTTGAATGGAAAGGCAACTAATTTTTCATCTCATACTCCTTATGAACAGGAAAGGAGCGGACGTTAGAGGATACTTTGCATGGTCATTGCTTGACAACTTTGAGTGGTTATATGGATACACCAGAAGATTTGGGCTATATCATGTTGATTATAATACATTGAAGCGAAGTCCAAAATTATCAGTTGCTTGGTACAGAAACTTCATTGCCAAGCATAGAACACAGACAATAAAGAAGCAGGGTAGAAGTGAAGATGTATTACAATCATCTTAAGACTTCTAGCAGAGGAATACATAAGAACATCATACAGAATAATCTTAGTACTCAGACTCCTTGTAACTATGTCTTACCTGTGAGGAATGGCATATCTGTATCCACATTGACGTTTCTAAGAGTCAAAGTAATAAAGGACAGAGAATCAAGAAGCAGAAAGGCGGTAACTGTTAAGCCTTTCCATCTTCCACCACAAAGTCGCAAGTTCATTCTTGTCAAGGGATACCAGGTTATGGGATAGGTTGTATTCATTGACCGATACAAGTTGTAGACATTTCTAAAAAAAAGGCATCTACATGAATACACCAATGCTGTTATGTCATATACGTATATATGAAAGTAACGGTAAATATTACATACCTGAAAAAGTCTTACCCGTATGGCTAATAATTTCTTTTCTTTTATCTTATTACTTAAACTCTTCATTTCAACTCAACACTAGGACCTTTCATTTTAGGTCCCTTTTTTTTTTTTTTTTTTTTTTTTTTTTTTTGGTAAAACAGTCAATTCGGACATTTGGACACATACCCATGTGGTATTCAATTTGAGAAACATAGGTTTATTCCCTTTTGAGACATCAAATTACTCATCCACAAATTAAAGTGTCATTGGTGTCCAATGGTAAACATGTTTTAAGGACCATACATGATATGATATTTATGGTACAGGACTACAGGTGTATAATTATGAAGCAAGCAACTACTACAATTAGCTAATAACATCAAAGTAAAGTGGCTTAATTTAGCTAATATAATAATTCAACTTTTCCAAGCTTAAATATAGCAAGTTTTAATTGGATGTTTGATGGGTTGAAGAGACAACATGATGTCTCAGTCCACCTAGTATAACTAAAACATTAATCATGGATTCTTTGCCTTAATTTAGTCCACAAATGACATATAGGTGTCTAAATTTAGAGAAAAAGTAGCACTATCACATGGAATCTGTTAGCAGTAGGATTGATGAGAGATGGATGAGGCTTAAATTTGATTTTATCAGGCCATTAACTGGCCAAGAAGGGAATTTCCCGAGGAGGCGGGGAAAGATAAGGGGATAACAACCCACAAGAAAACTCGTCTATTTAGACTGATAGCTAGAATCTTTACTCATTCAGAAAACCACCACAATACCCAACAAGTTAGGATAGTAAAGATTTTAGCTTCTAACCTCATAGTTGGGAGGTGAGAGCTGTATCCAGTGGCGGATTCAGGATTTAAATAATAGGTTGTCCCATCCCATCATCGTCCACCGACCGCATAAAATATCAAAAAATAGTCAAAGCTTGAATGATGGACAAAAAAAAAAATACATAAAAAGTTCATTTCATAAAGTAATTCAAATTCATATTACAACTAAAAAAGTACTAATTTTATTACAATTGCTCTCGACGAGTTTTCATATTTTGATAACGATGTATAATATCATCCATGCTAACATTGTAAAACAAATCTCTTTCTAGATAAGTAATCAAACAATCATTCAACATTTGATCTTCCATGCTATTACGCAATTTATCTTTAACTTGCGTCATTCCAGAAAATACTCTTTCTACACTTGCCGTTGCAACGGGAAGAATCAACACTAACTTCAAAAGTAAGTAGACTCGGTCATGAGTTTCAAACTTTCCCGTCTCAACAAGTTTCGTAGAAAGTTCACTTAGACTTTTCAAATTCCAAAATCTCTCATCATTTCGAACATCAACAATGAAATTTTCAAGTGAATGTTCAAAAAATAATAACTCAGAGCTTGAAAATTCACCGGGATAAAATTTAGCAAGTTGAACTAACTTTCTTTTGTCAAAAGAATGAAACCGATTTGCAGGATTAAAGCAAGACATACACACAAGTAATTCCTTACTTACCTCGGGAAATCGATTTTCAAGTTCTTGTAATTGAAGATCAATGACACTTAGAAAAACTTCAACTCTAAAATGATGAAGATTAGTCACATGTGGACCTTTACCTCTATACATTCTTCTCCCAGGAACCACATATCGCCCCTCCATGTTTGGAACCTCAATGTCATATTTAGCCATAGAAGAAGTGACTTTTTCCATATGTGAATCCCATCCTTCATCTCTCAACTTTTGCAAACTAGTCTTGGTTACATCAACCATGACCATTGCATTTACAATATCTTGATCATGTTTTTGCAATGCCACATTCAACGCATTTGTAATGCCAAATATATCAACCATCAAGTGTGCCACAAACACAAAATCAAATGACATCAACAAGTGTGTAATAGATTGTGCTTTATTCGAATCAAGTGTATCAGATACTTCTGCAATGGAATCAAGTGACAAAAGTATTGAAGGATATAAATCAAGCACATTCAAAATGGTTTTAAAGTGAGATCCCCAACGAGTATCACAAGGTCTACATAAGCCACGTTCTTGATTTAAACCAGTTCCCGATTCAATTTCACCCAAAGATAATGCTTCTACAACCCCTTGACGTTGTTTTTCTCGAAGAAATTCTTTCCTCTTAGGTGAACCTCCCACAAAGTTCAAGAGAGGTGCAAGTACGTCAACAAAAAGCCAACCACAATCTGAGTTTTTCTTAGTAAGTGCAACTTGTGTCAATTGAAGTTGATGAGCAAAGCAATGAACAAAGTATGCTTGAGAACATTCATTCAATATTAGAGTTTTAAGGCCATTGATTGAACCTTGCATATTACTTGCCCCATCATAACCTTGACCTCGAACTTGAGAGAAAGTTAAAGAGTGTTCCATGAGTAATGACTCAATAGTAGCTTTGAGAGTTAAAGAACTAGTATCAGGAACATGCACAATACCAAGAAAACGCTCACACACTTCCCCCTTTTTATTAACAAATCTCAAACAAAGTGCCATTTGTTCCTTATTGGAAACATCGGCAGATTCATCAGCAAGAATAGCAAAAAATCCACCATCAAGTTCTTCTAATATTGCTTTAGTTGTTTCTTTAGCACAAGCATTGATTATATCTTTTTGGACACTTGGAGAAGTAAGTTAACAATTACCAGGGGCCATTTTAAAAACAACTTTGGAATACTCAGGATCATGGTTTGAAAGAAGAGTTAATAACGAAAGAAAGTTACCTCTAGATAATGAACTTTCCTTTTCATCATGACCACGAAAAGGCAACCCTTGGAACAATAGCCATCTAATGGTTTCGATTGAAGCTTCCAATCTCTTACGATAGACACTCATGGTTTCCGCTGTTTGTTTTGATAAAGCGGTGGCAATGCTACTCATTTGATTCATGAAAAAGTTCATAGCAATCACGGCATTATTGTGAGCACTCTTGTGTCCACCAACATGCTTTACAATTGTGTCTCTTCTATTCCAAGATCTGAAACCTCCATTAACAAAAGCATCCACTCCCGCTGTGTTACCATCCTTAAACAGATAGCAAATGAAACAAAAGGCAGCATCTTTCTCAACACTATACTCAAATGGTCAAATATCCGGCCATAACTCACATTCACAAATCACAAATTCACAACATTCAAGCTCTAATCAAGTGACGATAATCAAGTCATAACATTCAAGCTTTTATAAAGTCATACAAATAATCAAGCACTAATCAAATCAAGAAATTTCACCCAAAAAAAAAAAAAAAAAAAAACTCATACACTGATATAGTGATATTAAACATACTGATAATTTTGATTTAAACATTTAAATTGATGATTTCATATAGAAATATAGAATCTAATCTCTATAATCTTATTGCAATGTAATTATATAAATTAAAAGTTTAAAACTAACCTCAAAAAAATCGAATTTGGGGAGCCACTGCACGAGCACGACGCTAACAAACTCACAGACGGATTGACGATTTGACGGACGCCTCACTCATACCTGACGGAGAAGCACGAAAAGGCTGCCGGGCTGCCGGCGAGGCGGCGATACGGTGAACGGCGACGGGGCTTGGGTAATTGGGTGACTTTGAGACTTAGGGTTTCAATTTGGGGGAATTGGGGATTTGGGGATATTTCTGCCTTCTGACTTTTCTTAAATCGTGAAATTGTGAAAATGAGGTTGTAAAGCCCAAAAAAAAAAAAAAAAAAGTTTGAGAGTAATGGGAGTCGAACCCGTATCTCATATGTGGTAGGATGGGGAACAAACCACCAGACTATAAGCTAAAACTCTTGATACTTAGTTTTTTTTTTTTTTTTTTTTTTTTATAGAAAATAATAGGTTGTCCGCGGACCCACTATGACTACACGTGGGTCCGCCACTGGCTGTACCACTAAGCGTTTGTTTGTTTGTTTGTTTTTTAACACTGCCATACCGTCACAGATTTTGGGGTCGCAGTTTTGCCAAACCCTGTAGCAGACGGCAATGATTAAATTCACGTTGTGAATAATAGGCGATAAGGTGAAAAGAATAGGACTGGATTGCTAGTTGTAAGTCATCAGCAGTTCACAACTACCATTGGTTTTCTGTTTCAACTCACATCTTCACAGGTTGATTTAGTCCATTTAATGATTATCCTAAACACCGAAAATGGCGAAAAAAACAATCATTGGCCTATCAAGTTCTCTGCCAAGCAATGAAAAGGACTCCATAAAAGAAAAAAACAAATCATTCTCTAGATTACATCAAGCAATACATGAAATTACTCACCACACAATTATACCAAGATAATATATAGGTATAGGAAACACCCAACGAAAAATACTTGTCATTCATCAAATTTTAGATTAAATTTTGGAATTCCACCTAATAATGCTAAAAACGTACACGCATAAGGTGATGCGGGTTTCACATGCATCATGTGTCCATATTTTTGACGCTAATAATATCAATTTATACCAAAAAATGTACACTATATTGCAATTTGCAGAACTACTGCAATATATCCATTACAGATCTAGTTGCTCAGCTTGAAAGCCTCCTACATCCACAGATGTATGATAACACGGAACTTATCATCACAAGCTTACACATAAGCTCACTGGCGGATCTATAAAGTAATTTCGTATAAAATTTTAAAACTGCACAATTAGAACTAATCTCAATGATTGCTGCAGTGGTAAATGGACTTTTAGCTAAGTTTTGGTTGTTATGCGACACATCAGGGGTTCGACCCTCTCAATCCCCATTTTCTTCATTGACTTTTTCCTTTCTCTCTTATTATTTTTTTTTTCATTTCCACACTTTATTTAATTAAAGAGTATGAAATATTTTGTTAAATGTAATGGTAAATGAGCTACATCAGAAAACTACTAGCATTAATTATAGAAATAAAAAAAAATATATACACAAATTTAATACACCATACAACTTCACAGTTTTTTTTTTAATAAGTTCTCAGTCAAATTACATCACATTGCATTGCATAAAAAAGTAACTCAGTCGGTTATTTTGTTAACCTTTTTTGGCGAAATTTATATATATGACCAGTTTGACCACCTATGAAGTCCAAATTTTCAGTTATTCAATATTTTTTTTTTGGTTTAAAATTTTCTTAAATGACTACATGCTACCCCTAATTGAAAATCCTGAATCCGCCACTGCATAAGCTGGTAAATGCTACACGGTTATTGGTCACTTCTATTATCACCAGAAGTTCAAATTTGTAATATTTACATATAGGTTGTATCAGTTTCATGTTACAAGTTTACTGTTACTACTCAAAAATGGACAGACGAAACTACAATTTCATCTGAAAGTGCAATCAGAAAATTTTCAATCTCTTTGTGAAATTAAACATTAATAAAGCTTAAGTTTGGAAATCAGGCCTTAATCCAGAAGCACTCTTGAATACAGATCTTCAGAGAAATTCCATATCATTCAGAGATGACTCAGAATTTTTCTGATTTGTACTTCACAATCTTCAGAGGCAAGGAGAAGTACCTGGTCCCGTTCTGTATCTTAGCAGTTGATGGATACTTCAGTAGTTAATTGCCTGCATCGCTATGCTCTAGGCTTTTTTAGATGTCGAAAATGTGATTTGAAAGGAGCCCTTTGTTATGGACCTTATGGCACGCAATGAACTATCCATTAATGGAGCGGCTATGAATCTGTACTGAAGAAAATATCTCGTATCAATGATAAAAACACTTGGGCAAATTTCGGCTAATGAAGTGAATCCGTTCAGTTTAAATTTGACCAGAATGGATAGCCTCAACATATCTTAAGCTAATTAACAGGCTAGATCCGAGCGGAAGGGGAAAAAAAAAATCTTAACAGACTCGTTAAGGTTGTGGAACTAACTTATCTTGAAATTTATGCAAGGAATTATATAAACATTGGGCAAGGGTCATCACAGTCTTCTCCTAATCGTTTTATATTAGCATAGTTCTTTAGGCTAATATGCATGTAGTTATGACTAATGACTCATGAATTCAAGGTAGCATAACGGTGAAAAAGTTTTTAGCAAGGAACTTGCCCCCTGAACAGATACAGCAAGAACAGGCTGATAATAATGCTTTAGAATGTGGACATGTGGTTTATGTTGGAAAAGACAAGAAAATTGGAGAGAAATTTCCTAATATAATTTTCGACTTTTAAATAAAACCGGCTGTACATTAGTAATTGTACTCCAGTAATAAAATTAACCTAAAGTGATCAAAAGTTACCTTAATATAAATTAAAGTTACCTATGTTTTATTGATAAAGGTACTCTTTCTAAGAGTAAAAATTAAATATTAATGTGTGAAGGGTAAATATATCAACCTTATAGAACTTATCTCATGGCCTATATACATTAAAATCATAAGTAGTATTGGGTTAAAGTTAAGCAAGTTAAAAGTTACCCTATAACTAACTGTTCGATATACACTAATATTATTGTGAACAGGGTGTACAGAAAAGTTTTTTAACTTTTTTGTAAAAAAGAACCCTTGGGTAAATCTCTTCGGCAAGTCAAATCGAAGATATCTCCAATAATAACTAAAAGGCTTCTCCTTAATTTTTCCTTGGCTAAAGAACTCCATTAGAACCACCACTAACATGCTTTGAGCCCTTAGAAAGCAAACTTAACAATTATTGTGTGTGATAGGTGTACCAAAGTTAAAGAAGTTTGCTAAGAATAACTCTGCATTATACATATGTAGGACACATTAAAGGTTCTACAGCATACATACTGATCAGAGGAGAAAGTTAAAGAGTGTGTATAAGAAATAAACTAACCTGGATTACAGCTCTGCATTAGAATTTCTTCCTTGTGACTACAGAGGGCACCTGAGTCATGAAAATAATCTCATCTCCACCACGGCGACCCAGCATTGTAGATATGCTCACCGTTGTCCCAAGAGATTTGACAAGCTTGAAGACCAATTGCAACAGTGGGTTCCTTTCCATGCAAAGCAATCCAATTATCAATAGCAATATTTTTTTCATCCTCACTAGTATATTCTTCTTTACATTTTCCAAGAGGATTAATGTTTGGAGTGGCTTTTTCTGCAAGAGAAGCTGGCATGTACATGGAATCGCCAATTATAGGTGCCCCACAAGCAGCAAATTGTGCTCGAATCTGCGCAGGAATATAACCGAATAATTAACTACACATAGTTTCTTGCCAATTATACTACAAATCTATTGAAGTTATCCAGAAAAGAAGCAAAAACAAGAGCAAGAGCAAAAGGAACAGAAACAATTGCATAAGAAATTCAAATATAATACAACAGTTCCCCAGGTAAGTGATTGTTAGCTTGTTCCATTCTCACATTATTACTACATCATCTTTAATTTAGCGAAATTTAGAATGTAATGTGACAGCTTGCTTTAACTCTTGTACCAACACAATTTAATTTCAGGAATCGCGTCACCACTGACAATTTTCATGGACAGAAGATTGACAGCCCAGGCCTTTATCCACAAGCTAAGGCAGGTCACATACATAATATTTCTTTTCCTCAATTAGCTCCTCAGATCCAGCCAGGTGATTTTGTTTTCAAGTTTTACAAGGCTATCACCTACTTACCACAACCTACATTTGAACAAACTAGGTAAAGAATGACAGTAGGGCAAGGAGAGAACGGGAAAGATTGGAAAGGGGAAGTGAGACAATAAAAATGACACAAAATCACATGTACTAAACAATGGGATATAGAAGGGCAAGCAAAGAGATAGAAAAAAAGCAAAATTATATAAGAGTAACATGAATAAGAAAAATGCATATGTTCTCTGTAAAAAGATAAAGCCTCTCCACATGTTAGGGGTTCAGCTACAATTCTAGATACATCTCAAATTTCCAAACCTTTCCAAAAGAAGATTATGTTGTAATCATTTTTTAAACAAAGGTACCAAAATGATCACATTTTGGAAAAATTTCACCGCGTAATGGATCAGTAAAATGAATATGTTACAACAAAATTCTTCACCAACGGCCAACTGATTAGAAAGATTGCTATGAATCATTAAAACTTAGACAAGATAAATGGAAATATAAGGGAAAAAGAGCATGAATTAGATAGATAATTTGGAATTGCAGAAAATAAAGGATAGTCTGGCTTCCGAGAGGCTTAATTCTCTCACAATGAACAATCTAAAAGCTAAAGAAAACTCACATCAATTTTCAACTTCCTTTCTCTCCCACTGATTTGATTTATTTATACCCATCATCTTCTTCTTCGACCCACTTTCTACCTAAGATTCAATTGGCAATTTGGCATCTCTTTTAGATTTTTAACTTCCAACGCAGTGACTAGAAGTTCAATAATACATTTAACAAGAAACGGTCAATAAAGTTCAATATTTTCACAAGCGAAAATTGCAACAATGATAGCCCAAGTATTTGAGAGGGAAGCATTTGAAAAGGCTAGAATTGATGAGAAAAACAAAAGGTACCAAATAAATAATATTACTATGATCGCAAGTCAAAAGTAATAGGTAAATTAGCATATACTATATGGCGATCTATGATAATGAGAAAATATGCTAAGACATGAGTGTGCAAGATTTTGAGTTGGCATGAAACTCAAAGGCAGATCCAAACTCAAGCTCAGTGTATTTGAGAGATTAAATGCAAATATGAATTCCCAACACTATATTTACACTAAATTTGTTGCAACTTCACAAGTGCGAACAGTAACATAGCAGTTTCCATCTACTTCAAATATTTCTACACGCACTTGTATCACTAACCTGGTGAGTCCGACCAGTCAAAAGGTCAACAGTGCACTCGTAAGCCAAATTCTTTACAGGCCATCCACAGTCTTCAATTTGATACTTTTCTCTGATGGAAGAGTTCGGCCAAGGAACTTCCTTACAATCCAAAACTTCCAGCCGGCATAAGAGCCATCTATCAATACACTCTGCAACAGAAAAGCTCAGGACAGTTACTATGACAAGTGCAGGAGGTCCTCTCTTCAGTTGAGTACAAAAGATGCACAGAAACCCTATTACTAAAATTCTTTTACACAACATGATAGTTTGGATGTGTCAAATAACTTATCGTATGCAATGAAAAATAGTTGTTTGCTACTCGCTGAAATATTTCCTAAGACTGAGGTACACAGCTATCCCAAAGTATCCACCAAGGATCCCATCTATCTAACTCCCTTAGTCCCACATTTAAGTTAACATCTAATTTTTGTGCGGAATTTAAGGAGGGTAAAACAGTGGAGAATAAAGTGGGTGGTTGGCTATGTGACCCAACTTTACAAATAAAGAAAAGTAACTTACATAAAATGATATTGAAAATGGAAAATGTTAACTAATTTATGGAGTAGCCAGTAACGGTAATGAGTTTATATGTAATTTTGCATAATTGCATGGAAATGTCCGTGGTAACGATATTAAGACAAGGTAACAAGGCTAAGGTAACACATGGGAAGGCATCTTAAGACATGATGAATAAGGATTGACCAAGGCACAAATGAGATGAATCTGAACACCAAGTAGGACTCCCGAGGCCCTTTGGGAATCCCAAGAAGCACCTAGATGTATTATACATGAAAATCGAACCAATTTTGGAGGTTTTGGGACCCGATAATGAAGATTCACATAATTGTAGGGACGCATCCTAAGGTCATATAATGTTATTTTGAACCATATACGGCCATTATTCAGTCACACATAAAGGCCCGTGGTGGGCTATAGCCAATAAAAGGAGGCGTATACAAAAACAACAATATTGATTCTTTAAAGGCAAAGTGGATAGCTCCAACCACTCAAATGGCTTCCCCAAGGTATATGGGAAACACCTCGACCTATTTCCTTTTCTTTGGAAAAGTTTAAAACTGTCCAATAATAAAGGCTATAATCTACGTTTTTGGACCAATTTCAGTGGTTTTGGGACCCGGTATAAAAAAATCTCAAGACTGTAGGGGAGATGCATCCCGGGTCATATAATGTTTTTTTGGAGCCATATATGATAATTAGTTGGTCACATAAAGGCCCATGGTAGCCTTGAATTAATTAAGAGATGCGTGTATAGAAATGACTAAATTGATAGTTTAAAGGCAAAGCAGATGGCTCCAACCACCCAAATTGATTATCTAGGTGTCGCAGGGTCCATGGAAAGAACCCCGACCACTTTTCTTATTATGTATCTGTTTATATTCATAACTTCCACTACCACTCAATACCACCTGGTCCACCTCTCTATATGGTAATGAGTAGTGACAAAAGTTTACAAAGAACAACACTTACTTGGGGATATAACTGCAGTTCTAAGAACATAGCCATAAGACTTTCATGACTACTGCAAAATTGCAACCATTTATTACAACCAAACTTGGCATGTTTTCAAGAATTATTACCTTCTGAAATAAGTCGTGGAGCAAAATCAAAAGGGCGCATGTAATGGGTATATATTCCACGAGGTACTGGTGCTGCAGCAAGTGCAAGGTAGAGCTTCTTAACCATTTTATCCTGATATCCATACACAAAGGGCTACATTAATATAAATTTATATATGTTTGTTCTGGCGCTCCAGTAGCATGGACATAGATGCACATGCACTCTATAAGATTGGGGATTTGCTGGAGTGGAAGCTTAAACCTCTTTCTTATTACTAAAGTGTGTGCGTTATCCAGGAAAATTTGTGTAATCTCATTATCTAAAGGATTTCATAGACTTACTCTAATCTTCTTATGAAAAGTTGAGCAATACTTCTTATTTCTGGCCAGCACAACACTGCAAATGAGCCACACTTAATACAGAACTACTTTATAACACAAAAAAGTTTCAGAAAATTGCAGAACATTACCATCCTTCAGTACAATTATCAATTTGATGTGTAGTAAGGAGTGGATAAGTCAATCCCAGGGCACGAGTGGCAAAAGTTGCACAGCATTCTTCAATGTTATCTGAAGACCCTCCAACCTAAACAAAGGAAAATTAACACTTTAGAAGAAATCATTACTTCCAGATTATTTGCCTTTGTAATGAGAAAATTGATGCAAAGCAAGTGGCATGCATGTATTTCACATTTTCACATGGATCATAAAAAGTAATAAAATATGCCTTTAAGTTAGCATTTCTTCGGTGTACAGAACCACAAAGAAAAATTAAACAAATACCAATTCAAGAAGTTGAAAGTTTGAAGCAGACACGTATAACAAGATGAAAACAAGCAGAGACGATACATTGTATAATTTTAAGGAACTCCAAGCTGTCACTAAGAAGCTTTAACTAAGAACTAAAGGTCATTAAACAAGATATCAACCACAAAGTAAAACACAATAATCAAGTGTTTCAAGTGAACCGATAGATGAAAAGTGTTATTGTTTGTGCAAGGATACAGGCGACACGCTGCCATTTGAGGCCATATATGAAAAGAGTTATTGTTTATGCAAGGATACAAGCAAAATGCTGCCATTTGAAGTGAGGTTTCCAATTTCTTAATCATACAAATGTTATCATGGGGGCAATGAGTGATTATTCAGTATTTACTTACTGAGGTGCCAGCAGGTTTGTTCAGAACCACATAGGATTCAGTAACAGCTAAAATCCTTGACTTCCAATCAATTTCGTAGCACCTGATGAGAATACAAGGTTCAATAGTGAGTAACAGTGAAAATTAAGTAGATACAGTAATCACACCTCAATCACCTTGGGAAGCGTTTTGGGTGTACATGAATGCGCAAGTAAGTTCCTACTTCAAAGAATTCCTCTATGCGAGTTACTCGGAAGGTTTTTTGAGCTTCTCGGAAAGTTTTCCCCTTGATTGAACGTCTATGTAATAGAAGTTCAGGAGATGTAAATTGTTGATACAGTTGAACTTGTTCAGGGGTAGCTGTTACAGGAGGCTCTGGACATATAAGTGCATAATATACAGCTCCGAAACGGATGAGATCTGCAACGTACCTAAATAAACAGTTCACTTTCTTAATTATGTCACCCTATCCATTCATTTAACCTTGAGAAGTTGAGATAGGCCATTAAAAGAAAAACAAAGATCAGAAGACAGTAGCATCACTCACAATGGTGGAAGATCCAAACTTTTGCTAATGTATTCACAAACAGGGCTTTTTTCCAAGACAACCAAGTGCTCTATTCTTGGTGGAAGATTTGTTGATGGACAGGGTAGTAAGCGGCTATATTCTGGATATCTAGAAAAAAAATCAAATTTCAGAGTTAAATACTAAGATTAGAGTATGCAAAGAGTAGGGAAGAGATAGGGATTGCTCGGCAGCAATATAGTATGTCATAAGGAAAAAATGTAGGCTGCAGTCGCTGCACCCTATAAAAGCCTATCAGATGCATTAACACCTTTAGAAATGGAGGAATAATAGTTCGGGTAAGAAGGATGATTCCTGAGGTCATCAGAAATCGAAACCAATCTTCTACCAAACAAAATACATTAACTAAACATCCAAGTAGAATTTTTACAAATGAACACTTCAATACAAAAATTAATCATTATCGGACTTCAAGTAGCATTTTTCACTAAAATTCAGCTAAACAATTCACAGTTTATATTAATGCAGTGAAAATGCAATCGCTCAACAGTTTCCATCACCTATTGTTTGGTATGAGTGGTGGGGTAACACATTCCATTTCCTTAGGGTAACCATAAGTCCATAACCAACTATTTGTTACCCTTCCCTACCCTATGGCTATGTTAATAAAAACACTTCCCTCGTCGATCCCCAGTTCAATACAACTCATACAAGGGATTCGTTTCCTTTATGCATACCAAACAACTAATGATGATAACACTTAACTTGCACTGAGATGTATAAATACCCTGAAGGAAAACTATTGGGATTCCATGATTCCATCCTTAAATCCTTAATTAGGCTACTATGCAGCAATATTTCTGATTTCTGATCGAAAACATTATTTTCATAACCTACATACCTTAAAATTTACCAATCAACAAAGAATAAAAACTAGTAATCAAGATTCCATCTTTATGCTTCTATTCACCAGGCACACCAGCTATCCTTAATTTTAGCCTCAAGTACAATTGCCATTACTCGGATATAAGAAAATTAATTAATAAAAAAAAAATGCTAATACTGATGAATGCCAATTAGCTTAGTTAGTATCAAGTCTTGCGGGGTTGTACTCAAGACCTCAATTGAATCACGTCTACATCACAATTGCACTATATGCCTACCTAAACACCCAAATAAAATTTCATGCTAAACCAAAATTAGTAAATTGAACACATTGCATCTCCTACCAATTCAATCATGCTTCAAAACTAAAAATTCAAAAAAAAAAAAAAAAAAAAAAAAATAGTATACACAAATAAATACTAGTATAAACAATATCAAACACCCAATTAAAATGTGCGGTATATAAATTTTCTACTAAAATCATGAGAGCCCTAAAACAAAAAGATTGAATTTTTTGCTAATTACCCATTAACAGAGGGAATGGTAGACGAAGCAACAGTCTCACTATTAAAGATTGAAACTGGACTATTGATATTCGCTCTCACAAGCTTATTGTAGCTAATAGAATGGGTAGCAGCTAAAGTGCGCCGGAGGGTAGTCGGAGCTCCGATTAACCGGAAATGGGTTCCCCGGAAAGAAGAGAACAAAGTGTTGATAAAGTTTGGCCCGAAATTTGAGGGTCCGAGTGACATTGGGTTCCCGGGCATTTTTTGTGGCTTTGTTTTGCTCCTTTCTTTCAACAAGAAAAGAAAGATGAAGTAATCCAATTTACTTGTATTTCTTTTTAAGGGTTCAAAATTTGGGTTCAAACATGAATTGTGGATTTGTTGGAAGATTAATTTAAAGGAAAAATAATAGGTGTGATTGGTTGAACATTCTATACATTTTTTTTTAAGGATATTTTTATTTGATAATCAAGAGTTTGTTAGACTCCAACTAATTTAAATTTGAGTAAAGTTAGACCTTAGGAATATGTTAGACTCGGACTAATTTGAATTTGAGTAAAAAATTTTTGTTTTTTTTTTTTTTTTTTTGAGGGGAAACCGAGCAATATTATTAAGTATAAGAAAGGCTTAAATCAGCCATTACAAGTTCATGTATCTCAATAAGATACTCTTCTAACCAAACTCTAACACCAACATAATTGCTACTAAGTTTGGCTAAGCTATGAGTTACTCGATTTCCATTCCTTTTCACAAATGTGAAAGAGACAACAGTGCAGGAGCTAGCAAGCAAAAGAATGTCTTTGATAATATAGCCAAACTCGGTCGGATCTGCTATACCCTTCCTTAGACAATGATGCAGCTTGAGATTCAGTTTCCAAACACACTCTCAAGAAGCCTGATTCCATGGCAATCTTTAAGGCATGTCTCATAGGCTCATAGCCATTGCCTCAGCAACCTCCACATCAAACCTGCCAGCAATTTGCACACACGTAGACACCACTACATCCCCAACCTCATCCCGCATCACATCCCCCAAACCCACCTGGTTATGTTTGAAGATAGCTGCGTCTGAGTTCACTTTAATTGTTCCAAATGAAGGCGCTTTCCAGCAACACTCCAGAATTTCAGTGGTGGTGTGACTACCCTCATTCACATTGGCATTCTCAAATGAATTTGAGTAAAGTTAGACCTTAGGAATATGAAATACTCTTTTAAAAAACAAAATTGTGTTGGGTTACTTTCTATTACACGGACTAATATACGTAGTAAACACTTATTATTTTGTTGACATTTAATGCTCCAAAATGGTGACTAAGGACAAAGAAGTAAGAGATGTGTCATGTGTGGCATGTTGAGATGAACTTCACTGTGAGTTTGTTGACAAGATTTCTTGAGAGCACAAACTAATCATCATGTGATCACGCAAATGAATATTGGACTCTGGAGTTTTTATAGTAGTGTTTAGAAGGAATTTGCATGATGATTAGTTTGTGATGAATAAGAAAATCAAATTTAATAAAAATATACATCTCACTGTTCACCCATTGTAAATTAACTTCAAACAATCCTATTTTCTTCCTTACAAGATTACAAGCTTTCACCAAGGTATCCTTATCATTGCACCAGACCCCAGAAAATATCCTTATCTCCACCAAGGTGATCCAGCTTCATAGACTTGTTCACCATCGTCCCATGAAATTTGACATGCTTGAAGACCAATGGCTAAACTTGGCTCCTTTCCATGCAGAGAATTCCAATTTTCAATAGCAATTCTTCTTTCACCCTCACATGAGTATTCTCTCTTGTATTTACCAAAGGGAGATACTCCAGGTTTGGTCAGCTCTGCAAGCGCAGCTGGCATATACATTGAATCACCAATTAGAGGAGCTCCACAAGCAGCAAGTTGTGCTCGGATCTGTCCCAAAAATTAAGGGCACAAGTAAGTCCACAAGTTACTTTCAGTGCACAGAGGGTGATTTACCTCACATCTCAATTTTCAAAGGAGATCAACAAGAAGGGAAGTCGAACTAGGACATTGACGTCAGAATTGAATACTCAATACACAATTGTATCCAAGTTTCCGACTAGCTAATGTACATAGTAGTTAATGTTTATGGTCCGAATAGTTGTGTCTTGAAGTTGAAATGAAGTCTTAAAGTAACATAAAATTGAGCGGCAGCAATACCTGATGAGTTCGTCCAGTCAAAAGATTAATTTTACATTCATAGGCAAAAGTCTTGACAGGCCATCCGCAGTCTTTGATTTGATACTTTTCTTCAATGGTAGAGTTTGGCCAAGGAACTTCTTTGCAATCCAAAACTTCAAGTTGACATAATTGCCACCCTTTGTCATACTCTGCATTGAATGCACACTCTCAGCTTTATGCAAAAGTTACCTCCATTGAAATAGAGCCTAGCTTTACTTAACACAAGCGGTTATACAGAGCTTCCAAACACTAGTCCTATTAATCTGACACAATGTATAAAAGAAATCAATCACTCCTATATAGCATATATTAGCATCTGAATACCACATCCACAATTACTTATGCTGCTGTACTTCTGGATTTCATCAGGAGGGAAGAAGTCTGATCTTTCTTGTTTTCAGGAAAGAGACTCAAAAGAACTTCTATTTATTAAACTTTCATTACTCTTACTCAATCACTCTTAAAACTACTTTGATGTCCATGCTACACATGTAAATATAATTTATGGATTGATGCTTGAGGTGAAAAATATGAAAACACAGCTCTTATATTGGTAAACAATGTCTAAATGAGACATATAAAACTAAAAGTTGAAGGGAAATTGATCTTTTGGAAAGATAACATGTAATTTGTAGTTTCTATTATTTTCCCATAACTTCCTACTTTCCATATATCTTATCCAAAAAAGAATCAATTAATCTACTAACTTTTTCAAATTCTGAATTTCTGATGTATTTCCTATATCTTCTGAGTACTACTTCCCATCTCAATCTATGCATCATATCTTTTTGCATGAAAAGCAATTGATTGTAGAAAGAGGTGATATTTGACAACATTGCCTAAAAAAAAAAAAAGAACAACAAAGTTACAAAAGTGGATGTCCCCACTTACACAGAAGGTGGTGCTGTGATGTCACCAAAAAAATTACTTTGAAGAAAATTATGCATGCATCGTGAAGACGTGAAGCATTCCAAAAAAAAAAAAAAAAAAAAAAAAAAAAAAAAAAAAAAATTATGCATCGTGAAGACGTGAAGCATAAATTATTGATTATAAACAATGAAATAATGGTGTTAATGAAAAATTTAAAGAGAAGACCTGATACGTAGAAGAAAGAGAAGCATCAATTTCGGGCACATATATTTGGTTTTATATAAATATTTGTTGTACGACTGAAGAAATTTGATTGTTAATGAGTAATATTATGTAATTAGGGACATTGATACAGGGATTGAGACCTCCTTAAATCTATGATCTATAATAAGTTGCTTTGTTAAATTGTTATATTTAGCAGAAATTTGGCAATTCAAGTTTTTTAAGACATCAAAGAAAAGTAATGTAGGACTCTTTCAACCAGACTTATATAATTGACAAATTTATGAAATGAGAATAACAGGCCTAATGTCTCGAAATGTTTACCTTCAGAAACTATACGCGGAGCAAGCTTTGCCGGCTGCATGTAATGGGTGATAATTCCACAAGATATTGGAGCTGCAACGAGGGCAAGATAGAGTTTCTTGACCTTCTTTTCCTTATGTAAAGCACATGTACAATAAGATTAATTACAGGGTATCAGCTGAAAGACAGTTTCAAAGACGTATTGCTGTGTTGGATGTTTAACTGCACCCAATATAGAAAGATTAAATATTGGTCAGAAGTGTATTTGATTTTCCACTTTCCATACAATAGCATTATATCGCACAGGAAACTATTTTTACGGAACACAATAAACTTACTCTGAATTTTTCATGAAAAATAGAGCTATATTCCTCAGTTCTGGCCATCAAAACACTGCAATGAGTGTAGAGAGGTCACATGATTTAGGCAGCAATAAAATTCAGTAAAATATATTTTTGCAACTATCTACACATATTACCATCCTTCAGTACAATTATCAATCTGATGTGTAGTCAAGAGCGGACTAGTCAGTCCCAAAGCACGAGTAGCAAAATTTGCACAACTTTCTTCAATATTGTTGGAAGTACCTCCTACCTAGTCAAAGATAAAAGCATCACAGAAGATATTAGCTTGGAGATTGACAATAGGCATCCCGTAGGATTGCATCAGAAAATAATCATAGATTTAAGTTCAAAGGGATGATTTGCATGACCACAGGCATGATCTTAACAAAATTAGGGATAAGCACGTCTAATTTCTCTAATGAATGATAGATGTCAACTCAATAATGCAAAGTCGGAGCGAGAAAGTGGTTAGAATATTCTTAACAGCAAGAAAAGGTGAGATAAGAGCCTTAGGACCTCCAACTCCAAGCTCTATATTGGAAATAATACTCAATCTCACCAAGCCAGAGTCTAACAAACCACAGCCTGGACTGCATGCAGCTTTAAATTCTTCTCACAAGTTAAACACAACATAGGGGAGCAATGATGAGGAAAAATATTCATTTCTCCTAACTGAGTGACATCTATTCTCATTTATTCATTTGAAAACGCACATACATCTTTTCATCAGAAGACTCTAAAGAACATATGTAATTAGGTCCAAGATATACATACAGAAGTGCCAGCAGGCTTGTCCAGAATCACATAATTGTCATCAATAGCTATAATCCTCGACTTCCAATCAATTTCATAGCACCTGAAAAGAATTCAATGCCTATATTACATACAATAAAAATAGCAAGCACCAAGCACTAAAAGTAACTTTATTCTTGAAAACCTTGGGAAGCGTCTTGGATGTACATAAACGCGCAAGTAAGTTCCAACTTCAACATTTTCATTAACGTGAGTTATACGGAAAGTCTTTTGTGCTTCTGAAACAGTTTTTTCTTCAAGTGACTGCCTCTGTTTTAGAAGATGAGGTGAAGTGAATTTTTCGTATACTTGAACTTGCTCTGGAGTTGCAGTTGCTGGAGGCTCAGGATGCACAAGTGCATAATATACAGCTCCAAAATGGATAAGATCGGCAACATACCTTCACAAATCATTAACTCAATTAGGGACCTCATCCCACTTCATCATCAAAGGAATGAATGCCATGAAGGGAAAAAAGAAGATGAAACAGCATAACAACACTTACAGTGGGGGGAGATTTAAAGTTCTGCTAATGTAATCACAGACAGGGCCTTCTTCTAAAACCACCAAGTGTTCAACTCTAGGTGGGTGATTGCTGTGATTTGAGGGAGGGCAGGGTAAAAGGCGATCATATTCTGGGTAGCTGAAAATTAGCATTGAAAGTCGGGTGTGACGTCAGAAAAGCAAAGCTTGTAGCTATATATGTCTAAGTTGATTACTGTCTGCTGAAAACTCATGATTTACAGACATGGAAAGTTGAAGAAACTTAAGAGAGACCTAAGAATTCATGCAAATAGATTGACTTAAACATTTTATGTCCTTTAAAAACCAGGAAGTTGATAAAGAGTCAAAAGAGACAACATGAACTTATTAGAGGGAATAGAAGAAACCACCAACTTGCACATTTTCCCTAATGACTAGACAAGCTTGTTTATAATGTGTCCTTAATTGCACACACCCTATGTAGAAGATTTGTAGCCAAAGAATTGAAGGTGTCCTTTAACTCACTTTCATCGACGGATAAGCAGTATAAAAATAAAAAATAAATAAAAATCATTCTTCAATTGAGTTCCAACATTCCTCTCAGAATAGCTAAAAAAAAAATCATCATTTTAACTGTCGTTTAAGAAGTCCCATGAGAAAACTGTTTTAGCATAAGTTCTTGTTTTGAAAGTCCCAAATTACAAATTAAAGGTTGATAAGGAATTCCCACGGATACATACGATATTGGAGGAATTAAAGTATTAAACATGCCCTCGAACAAGCTTGTAGCATTGGCAATACGCCAATACTAGTAGTCTAATAATCTTGAAAATTGGCAAACACCAATAAGGTAGTACACTGTATGCCTGTGCATACAATCCTATGGCGCGTTTCTGTCAGCTTTATTCCGTAACTCCCAAAAAAAAAAAAAAAAAAAAAAAAAAAGTTTGATGGTTTAATGTGATGAAACTACCTGAATTATATGATGGTTAAATGTGCAAGCATCTCTATAGCAGATCATAGATTTCTTTGTCACTAAAATGTTGATGAAACTACCTGCTACTCTGCTAGTACTGGCTTCCCAATACTTCATGAGTTCAGGCTAAAAATTAACATGTTTGCTATTCGTGAAAAATATGAGATGTTCAAACTATCCATCTACTGAAACCTTATAAACCTTACAGAGTAGGCCTGTACAAAACTATCCGAGAATCCGAAAATCTGATCCGCAACCGATCCGGATTTTTGGATATCCGATCCGAGTTTTCATTTCGGATCCGAAACAGCGGATATCGATTGTGGATTTGGATATTGATTTTCAAAATTTCGGATATCCGATATCCGATATCCGAAATATAAAGGCTGAAATAGTGAAATATATATATAAATTTTTTAAATTGTTCATATAAAACTGACCTGTATTATTAACTTATTATAATATTCTTAATATATTTGATGATAATATTTATTGCAAAAAGACTACTATTTTGTTAAAATATGTTGTACAACTTAGCGATAAAAAAGCGGTAAAATTAGTGAAATTTAGAAAGTAATTATAATCAGTTTTATTTAATATTGGATAATGGATATCCGAAGCATCCGATCCGAAAATTTTGGATATCTGAATATCGGATATCCGAAGTTTTCGGATCGGATTTAGATATTAATTTCTGATAGAGTATTCGGATATCCGATCCGAAATCACATTTCGGATCGGATATCCGATCCGTGAACAGGCCTATTACATAGCAGATGTTCAAAGATTATGCTAATATATTAGAATGTATTCATTAATGTGCAATTAGGGGTTTAGAGTTACAAATTACATTATAATTATAATTGGGTAGTTGTTCAATTCTCATATTAAAGGTTTCAATTTGAGGTAGATAACTTGCATAAAAATGTCAGAAAATACCATTATTTAAATGCAGTGTCCATACTCTACAAGATCAAAAACAATGAAATTTATAAAGAATTAAGGCAATAATATTGAATTTCTTGACTGAATAAATCACATTGGAGCTAAATATGAGAAACCCATTTACATATTAATCCATATTAAATCAATAATTATAAAAGAAATTGAAATAGTAAGAGAGTGATGAAAGTTGGATTACCCATTAGCAAAGGTAGCAGAAGCAACACAATTAACAACCCATTTGCCTTTCTTGGTGAGGGTGCCTGCTAACGTGCGCCGCCGGAGAGTTGCCGGAGCTCCGATTATTCGGATACGGTTGCTCCGGATTCTGTGATATGGGGTTGCATAATTCGTTAATGTTGGCCTGAAATTCCCTGCCCCAATTGCAATCGGGTTTCCCACCATAATTTGGCAGTTGGCAAACACGTACAGTAGTACCGAGTACTCCACTTCCAAAAAATATCTATGGGGATAACGAAGTCTGTCTTATCTATGTTGGCCCAATTCAAAATGGACCCGGACACTTTTTTTTTTTAATTGAAACTTACTCAAAACATTTTGGGGGGGTGTTAAATGACAGGTACGTCTTAGTTTTTCGTTTTTTTTCCTTCTATTAGTGTCCCTCTCGGTTCACTCTTTAAGCTTATTCGGATTCGAAACTCAATTTTTAGTGGTTAGGTTTTACTCCCCTCCCAATTATTATTGTGAGGATTGAATTAAACACGCAATTCTTTCTGTTAAGCGCAATCCCAATCACCAATGCACCAATAACCAATTGGTTAGTTTCTCTCTATTAATGGTCTATGATTCAAACATCAAAATATTTTATCTCATCATATTAAAGGTTAGAAATTAAGCTACTCCGTCATAATTGATTGAGAACGAGGCGAAACTTTTACTCGTAAGACGAAGTATGGGATGGATAGATCTATACATACATGTAAATAGAGGTGTCAAAACCTGACCAAACCGATCGCGACTCAACCTGAAACCGCCTCGAAAAAAACCAATTCAGATGTCGACTCGTCTGAACACAATAATTTATCATGACTCAAGTTTAAAATAGACCTCACCCGACCTGAATACTCGAATTGAAACCTCTACATGTAAATATCCAATAAATAATCTACCAATCAGAATTAGACATTCTAAAAATATATATATCATTGTACTGTCCAAGTTTTTTTTTTTTTTTTTTTTGACCACATCATTGTCCAAGTTGAATTCCATATTTCAGTAACTTTTTGTATCTTTTACCCAATGGGTAGCTAAAAATTTTTCAAGGTCTTAAAAAGGTTGTTTTGCCAAATGCATAAGATAACTCCACAATTTATTGCAACTCTGTGTTTTGGCAGTGATCATTTCCATTAAAAATAATGTTGCCAGCCTCTTAATTTAAATGATAAAACAACTATTGTACTTTCATCAACCTTGGTTGTAACCTTTCAGTGTTATTCCCTTGCCTAGACTCTAGACTTTGATTCCAGTTATATTTGGCAAAGCTAATGAAGTAGTAATCATCTAACTACTTATAGAAATATAATTACATATGAAACTATAATTGCGTATAAATTGGGAATCAATTAAGGAAGGATCTCGTTTAAGAAAACAGCAATTATACAAAAACAATCACTTTTAAGTTTTTAGTTTCATCTTTATATGTATGTACCTTCCTAGTCATGTCAATTGTCCTAGAGAACAAATTTAGTAACAACAGTAAATACATATACAACTCACAACTGGTCAAAACTCAAAAGTATTCAATTCTCTTAATTAAATGGTTGGTAGATGCAAATTTATGTATACACTCACACAATAATAGCTCTATATATTAAACCCTCCTTATACGTCTTTAACATACTACATACACTATCATATTGTCATTGTCAAACTTTCCACTCTAAAAAACATGGAACTCTTAGATATACTCTTAATCCTTTTAGTAACAATCTTTCTCCCTTTATGGTGGCGACGAATCGGTAAGGGCTCGAGGAATAACCTTCCCCCGGGCCCATCAAGGTGGCCTATCGTTGGGAACCTCTTTCAAGTCATACGGCCTTTTATGTACGTGGTCCGAGACCTACGAAAAGAGTACGGGCCCATCTTCACGATGCAGATGGGCCAAAGGACCTTGATCATCCTTACGGATGCAAACCTAATCCATGAAGCCCTTGTTCAGCGGGGAGCACTCTTTGCGAGCCGCCCCGCCGAGTCCCCCACCCGCTTGGTCTTTAGCCTCGGGAAGTGCGCCATCAACTCGGCTGAGTATGGCTCGCTATGGCGGGCCCTACGCAAGAACTTTGCCACCGAGGTGGTGGGCTCGGCCCGGGTGAAACAATGCGGGTGGGTAAGGAAGTGGGCCATGGAGAACCACATGGGCCGGATCAAGGAGGAGGCCCATGAAAAGGGCTACGTAGAAGTTATGAGCCAATGCAGGCTAACAATATGTAGCATAATAATCTGCCTTTGCTTTGGAGCCAAGTTATCTGAAGAGTTGATAAAAAACATTGAAAGTGTTCTTAAGGAAGTTATGCTTATGACTTTACCGAAGCTTCCAGACTTTCTACCCGTTCTGATCCCGTTGGTTGCCCGGGGGCAGCTTAGGCAGGCGAAGGCGCTAAGAAAGAAGCAGATGGAGGTCCTCGGCCCGCTAGTCCAGGCCCGGAAGGGTTTCGTCGAGAGTGGTGGGAGCCCGAAGAGTAGCTCTTTCGACATGGCAAGCCCGGTTGGGGCGGCCTACGTGGATTCTCTACTAAGCCTTGACCCACCGGAACGGCCCGGCGGGCTTGGGGAGGAAGAGCTGGTGACTTTGTGCTCGGAGGTGATCAATGCCGGAACCGACACTAGTGCGACCGTCATAGAATGGGCCCTCCTACACCTTGTGTTGGACCAGAAGGTACGAGATCTTACAATCATTGTTGCTTTAAAACTACCTAGTACTAATATAAAGTACAAGCTGTGTTAATGATGATAAAATGGTTTCAAATTATTAATTATATATATGAGTATAGTTTAAGAAAATATTGTACAAGGACTTGTCCATAAATCCTTGACAAAAGTTTACTACATATAGTATTTAATTCGATCAAATTATTTTAAACAATATTTTCAAAGTAGATTTTGTTACTATTGAATCTAAATGTAGAAAGTAAATTATAATCGATCAACTTCTATGATTTTAATATACAAATGAAGTATCTCACTAATTATATGTACATTGTACAATATTAATAATGTGAATTTATTTATCGATCACTATCTACATTAATATTCCGTACTAAATACTTAGCTAGATTGCATATTATTTTATTATTAAGATACCTAGGCGATCGAGTACTTAGTTAAGATAGATGTTGGTAGAATGTTAAATAGTGTCATTGATTGTGTACTTGCTACTAGTTGAATTTATTTCAGTTGTCAGCTCCTAAAAGAATTACTACTGTTAATGATTCATATCATATTCCACTTACACTTACAGGTTCAACAGAAATTGTACGAAGAAATTGTAGATGTGATAGGATATAATGGAGTTGTTTCTGAGGATGATCTCGAGAAGATGGTGTACCTCAACGCCTTCATCAAGGAGACATTGCGGCGACACCCACCAAGCCATTTTCTCCTCTCTCATGCCGCGAGAGAGGATGCCGTCCTAGGCGGCTACACCATTCCAAAAGACGCAAATCTCGAGATTTACACCGCATGGGTGACCCAAGACCCGACCCTATGGCCCGACCCGGAATCCTTTCGGCCCGAGAGGTTCATGCCCGGAGGAGAGGGGTATGAAGTGGATTGGACGGGTAACCGGGGGGTTCGGATGCTGCCCTTTGGGGCGGGCAGGCGGATCTGCCCGGCTTGGAGTTTGGGTACGTTGCATGTGGGTCTAATGCTTGCTAGGATGGTGCATGCTTTTCGTTGGGTTCCTAATCCGGGTAGCCCGCCCGACGCGACTGAAACTTTTGCTTTTACTATGGTGATGAAGAACCCCCTCAAGGCTGTCATTTTTCCTAGGTGTTGATAATGGAGACCAAGAATTACAATATATATTAATTTAAGGCCGGGTTAATATATGATTGACTTAATTATATTTGAATTGGTTTAAGCATTTGCTATATTAATTAATGTAATAGGATAAATTTATATATATATATATAGGCGGTGTAGCTTATGAAAATGATCATGTATGATAATATATAAACCTAGAATGGTAATGCATCATGCATGCATGTATGATAATTTATGTATGTAATTGGTTTTCTTTCCTCATTTTATAAGTATATTTCCCTTTCATACTAGTTATTGATCATCATATCTAATCTACGTCTAAAGTATGGTCACATTCCTTTCATTAATTACAATGGAGTATCAAATTCAATCTCACCAAGCAAGATTTCGCGTAGTTGAATCTTACAAGCATGAAATGAATTGTTGGATTAAGTCACATTAGGAGGCTCATTTCCACCTAGATTATATTCCATGCACATTCCTGTAATTTATTTACCCTTCTCCATCACTTTTAAGGGGTTAGTTCCGCCTCAATAACCATTTTCCTTACCCTAACTTGTACATGCTCTATGAGTGTAGAGAAGATCAAGCTTATTGGAAAAAATAATGTTAGAGACTGTACATTTAAATATTACATCCAAATATCTAAGATATTAAATACGCAAAGGATATATAAATATAAGTTGAGAAAGTCTACTCTCAAGCGTTACTACTATACTCTAACCTAAGCTAACTTATTTAAGATATTATACTTACAAATTACAATAAGACCCCCCATCCACGAGGCGACTAGGTGAGCTAGACGATCTGAAGGCCAAATAGAGCCCATTTTTCCCCAACTTTATTTTTGGGATCTCCCTATTATATGTAACATAATATGCTGCACGATTAATTAGTTTCTTCGTAAACTATATTGCTTATATAAGTACTCCATGTATAATTAAAATGTTCCAAATATTTCAACGTATCATGTACAGTACTACGTAGTACGTACGTATGCAGATACTCAGGCGGTGGCAGGTTGAAACATAAACCTTAATTAATGCCTTAATGGATAACAATTCTTACTTCTGTCTTCTTTCTGTAATAATGCCAGTGAAGGCATTAAATTTTTCTATATATGCCTCATTAATATTTCTTGATTTTTAGAACAGATTAGATCTAGAGGACTAAGAGTCTAGAAACAGTTGATATATTTTTCTCTTGAGCTCCATACTCTAGTCTTTAATTTAAATTATTTAGTTGTACTACGTATATTCATATAATAACAATAACAACATGATATAATTACTTTGTATGTAATACGGGTATTTTATTGTAAAGTTCATTTATCATAAGATATACGCGCAATACATATACATACTTATCCAGTTATCCTATACAATTATTATTTTATGATCGTGTACTCTAATTATATTTTTGAAATATGCTCGTGTGTTGTTGTACCCTTAGGTGTTAACTTGTTAAGAGGAGCTTGCGTTATTGGAGCGGCATAAAAGGGGCTAGATCAACTTGACTACTTGACTTCTAATCTATAAGAAGAGTACGTATTGAAAGTAAAACAGTAAAAATAGCTATATATCGGGAATAGAGTGAAATAGTACCTCCTAAAATAAGTTAATCCGTATATTTCACAATAAAAGTTATCGTGTAACATTTTCATTTTTCAATTCGTATAATGTATTTTTCAATTTGCTCATGAAAATGCTCAATCTATCTATAACCCAAAATCACCTTTCTTGATTTCATCTCATGTCAATTTTCCTCTTAATAGCTTATGTGCTCATTCAGTCGTAAATATAATTATTACTTGATACAGAATATTTTATTTTTAGATCTCTCAACATTCAAGTGACAAGTGTATATACTCCGTATACAAGAATATAACAATGAACCTTAAGGTACATACAAGTTTCACTTGCACTAATCTTATGCATGTCATTTAAACAAAAAAAATGAAAACTAAAAACTAAGGGCTTGTTTGGCATTGTTTTTTTTTTTCTTCAGTTTTCTGTTTTTTTTTAAAACAAAAAACCAAATACAGGAAACAAGAAAAATGTGTTTCCACTTTTCTGTTGTTATTTTTCAAAATTATTAGCAATTTAATAAGTTTGACAAATTTTTGATTCATTATATGACATATATCATATGATTTTGTAAAACAAAAAACCAAAAAGTAGAAAAGCATAGCGATGCCAAACGAACCCATCAATTTATATTGAAGAATAATATTTTCCTAAGTCCTAACTATTGATATATACTTCTTCTTAAAAAAAAATTTGATAAATAAATTTAATCAGTTGTGAATTTGCAAGCAAAGTACATCTAACTAGTTTACTTATTAATTCATCATAATATTTTTAAGTACAATGATATTAATTTTCCTAGTACAAAATTTACAGCTCAACTTATCTTTATATAGCTAGACTTTTACTAATTTACCATATATAACCTAGGTGCTCAGAATCAAAGCCACAGAGCATTTACTATAGGATGCCAATAATGCCATTTTAGTGATTTTACTCCTATAGAAGTATACATATAGTCATATAGACCATATAAACCAAAGTAAAATGTAGTTTACTTTTGCAGCCTTTTATTGCATTAAATTATAGCAATAGGGTTTATTTCACCAAAAGGGTTATTGAGTACTTGACCCGCCAGTTAAATACATGGTTTGATGTATGGTGATAACTTGTTACAATGCTCTAGAGTCATGACTAGACGATTTATTGAACATCAATCACATCATACTACGTATATAATATATTGGTGTGACTCCGTCAATTCACTAAAATAAAGATGGTTGTGGTGAGGGAAGTAACAATCAATTTTTACTCGACTTGTTATGAATGAAATGTTTAGTTGAATAACAAGTGATTTAGGGTTGTAGGTTGCATCTGGCGTATAAAATTCGATTTATATTAATGTACTATATAAAAAGTGATCCATAATTTTGATAAGTAATAGAAAAAACATTATCGCTAATTTTATCGTCGCTATTTGTAGTGATTCGACTCAATACAAGTAATAGAAAAATAAATAAAATTACGTGTATATATAATTTAGTTTTGTTTATTAATCACGAACCTTCCATTATCCTTGAACGTGTGCCAAGTTATCTTAACTCGCATGTAGGTTATTCACTTAACACATATACGAAGTACTTCTTATACAATAGATACCGAGAATCATTTAAGGCAGGGAAATAAAAAATTATAGTGATGGACTCATATATAGTACATAGTCAGCGGCGGACCTGCCCTTGTGCCTGGTGGGTCAAATGACTCACCAGGGCCCAAAAAAATTATTAAGTTTTTTTTAAAAATAAATAAATAAATTAGTTTGTTAATTATTGTGATTATTATTTTAGGTCAATTTTAAGCTTGTTAATTATTAGTTAGTATTGTAATCTTGTCAATTTTCTATTTGGATGATCTTTGTAAATAATTTTTCTTAGGAATTTTGGTAAATTTTTTTTTTTACATATTTGGTTATCGATTGTGACTCACCAGTCGGAAATTCCTGGGTCCGCCACTGTACATAGTATTGAATTTTATTATTAGGAGTAAATTATGCAAGTATGGAGTGAGAATGGGTTAAGATTTGGGATGTCATTGTCACAGATTATAGGCAGTATAAGGTTTCGCATTTGGTGTACAAGCCTCTTAATTTCTTCTCGGAAATTCAAACTTATATACTCCCTCCGTCTCCGAAAAAACGACCTTTTTGGGTTGATTTCGCGGGTATTAAGAAAGTTATTGGAAGTATAAGAGTGCATGAGGAAGCTAAGAAAAGTAAATTGAAAAGGGAAATTTACATTGGAATTGCAAAAAAGTAAAGAGAGAAAGTAATAAAAGTATATAGAAAAAGCAAAATTTGCATGGGGAAGCTAATTTTGCACAAATATTATTGCAAATTAGAGGGTATTAAAATGCAAATAGGATGAACATTTTGGGACTAAAATTAGGCCAAAAGGGTCGAACTTTTGGGGACGGAGGGAGTACAACTATATACAAGTATAAACATAAATAAATTAAATAAATTCTTATACTTGTATTTCATTTATACTACATGTAAGTGGATGTAACACTTGACAATATTCTGCTTATTTTTTCATATCTTTATTTACTCGTAACTATACTAGCTACTCGTACTATATAATTACATGTTGCAACACGATGCTGCATTATGGAGAAAGATTCACAATGTTTTTGGCAACTCAGATCACGCCGCTCTGTACCCAGGAGGAGTTAGTATACGATCTTGACAACTAAGTTTTTTGGTTGGGTATTCAATAAGGAATGGGCAATGTTGTTGAGGTAGCCGCCCCCTCGAAAATCGATGGGATATGTTTTTGTTAGGGATTTAAGTTCCCAACCCCTTGAAACCGGAGTTGTGTGAAATTGCAGTACAATTAATACTAACTCGTATTGAGAAGACTCCTTGAAGATTCTGTTTGGTGGAGGTTATAAGTTTGAGCCCTACCAATTACATTTTATTGAGAGTAAGGGGATTGATTCCATTACTTTCCCTCTCTTTCTCGAGTGTTGACCTATAAAACTGAACTGATTTAATATGTGAGGGTGAGCGGTGTTTGTTTAGTACAGTCTTTCATTATCTTACCTTTAATAAAATTATGAGAAAATACCGCTTTAAAAAACTTTATTCTCGTTTATAAAAAATATAATCTATTCACATTATCAAGTTTTCTTTTTCCTAAAACTGACAAAATTTGGCACAACATGACAAATCGACATGTAAACCGAGTAACCTCTGATTGACCGAGTAACCCCTGACCAAGTAACCCATGACCGAGTAACCCCTGACCAAGTAACTCCGACCATTCTTAAAAAAAAAAAATGTGGCTGGCCACACGGTATGACCAGCTACATATGAAAGTTTGTGCTCTATAAAAACTTATTATTTTCATCTGTAGTTGAGTCAAGTTATAAGACTTGTTTGACTTGATTTTAGATTTGGTATGATTCAAATAACCATTAGTTTATTGTCAATATGTACATATTAATAAATAATCACTACGCAACACATGCATATCAGGTCAAAATTAATCAAAATTGTTCCAAGTAATTTCGAATACGTAGAGTTTGAGATTGATAATTTAATACGAGTACTCAGTGCAAAACATTGAAAATATCATTATAGTATAAGTTTTGATAATGTAGTTGGTTGCACTCTTGAATTATTGATACAAACATCAGTAAATACCTTAAAATGTGATTCTAAATAAGAGCAACAAAATTTTTAAACTCTTTAGTAAAGGTGGCGAACCCTTGAACATTTACGTAACCATCATAGGATTGATATACTTGAAAGTAGGAAGGCATGGGATAGGTGGCATTATAAACCAAGCTAGTTTCATATTGTAGCTTTTATTTTAACGTTGCATATATAATCTCTTGCTAATGTCAATCAGTCAATGCCTTTATTTTAACGTTGCATATATAATCTCTTGTTAAGCTTTTATTTTGACATTATAAAATACTGTAATTTTCTTCATGATCCACCAAACGCTCCCTAATAACTTGATTGTTAAACTTATAAATTAATAAACTGTAATATCACTGTAGGCGTCAACTCACATAAGGTTAAAATATTCTATTTTAAATAATTAATAGGGTTATATAAGAAAATCATGATGATAGATATTAATTTAATGCAAAATAAATTTCTTTTGGTCAAATTTTTTGTCCTTTGTGCTTAGAAAATATATTGTTGTCTTTTATCATGTTAACAAGTAGTTGGATGATTGGTCTTCAAATAATAAAACACCACTAATATATGTTCTATTTCACACATGACATGCATGATCCAAGCATATAATATTTGTGGAAATTATTAATCCAAATTATTGTTCCCTAAGATAGTGAATTCCAGCTTTATCTGCTTTATTTTACATTGTTAGAAATAATGCTAGCAAGTACATAAATAAATACAATAATTTACGTGATAAATAAAAAATACTCCAATGTTTATAATATTACAAGAAAAATTACTAAGAGTAATTTCATCGTAATAGGATGTGGCTTTAAATTTTATGATTTTTTTTTTTTTTGACTAGAACTAAATTGAATAGTTTAACTTATAAAAAGAGTTTATGACAGAAAAAAGATTTGAAGCATATTTTTATCCTTGATAGGTACAAACAATAACACAATGTATGATAATGTTGTACTCAATGTGTGTCAAGTGACTCAAGTCCTTATCATGGTTTGATGAATACAAGCATAATGGATATCTTGTTAGTTGTTCTTGATTTGACTTTTATTTATGATTGCACCCATCCTCATCAAGCTAGTTAATTCGTAGATTATTCTTTTTCTCAAGTATTAGAAAATTACAATTCAAATATGTTTATTTACATTCATCATTCTTCTTTATCAATTCAATTTTGAACTGTGAAATTAAATTAACGACTCTTAAAAAATCTTATAACTTATGTACACATAGTAAAAAGATACAAAGTATGTTACGGGCTAATTTTCTTATTACGCTCCTCGATTACGACAATATAACACAACTTACACAAGTGCGCTCCAATTGACAAACTACTTCAAAATAAAAATCCTCATGTCGTAGTCATTATTTTTTTTCTTGATCACTCTCTTTCTCTATAATCACTCGACGAAATTTCTCAAGAAAGTCTACTCAGTGCTCAACCAACAACTTTCTTCCTCCAGTCAATCTCTCTCCTACCCAGTTTCCATTTCATTGATTTCTCTTCAATTTCCAAAAGATCTGCAATTTTAGTCAACGGGTTTTCAAATTTACTTCGATTTTTCTGAATGAAAACACAAATTTATACTCAGCTTATGTATTGATTTTGATCGTTTGTGGTTTATTCATAGTCATGCAGTCTGGTAAGCTTTCTGCTATCTTCAATTTATTCACATTTTTCATAATAATTATGTAAGTTCTGCGAATTGCATGTTTTTCTATATGTTGTTGCTCTAGTTATTGATTGTAATTGTGAATTTGTGGGAATATTATGAAATTAGAGATTTAAAGATTGAATTTTTCGTGTAAAGTTACATTCTCTGGGTGTAATTTAGTTTATTTATGGGTGAAAACATTAAAAATTCCCCCAAATATAGTATTTTTACCCAAAAAATACACATGTACTTCGTATATTTTAGGAATACAGAAAATAATGCTCAAAAAAAGATTGGGGTTTTGAATTAATCATTATTCCTATTGGAAGCCGTACTTCAATTTTGTGAATTTGATCTTTAAAAGAGAAATGTTGCAACTCATTTGAAGCAGAGGAAATATATTAATGTAAATAGTTTTGTGTTTATTATTGTCAATTTGTCTAGGAGTATAATGAGTTGGATGGAGGTAGGTTAATGGTGACATTTTGGAATTAAAGAAATATTTGATGTGAGTAGATTGATTGTGTACGATGATTGTAATAGTGTTTTGAATTCCGAAGGTCAAATTAGCTGTTAGGTTGCAATTCCTTGAGAGAGCTTCACTTTCTAAGAAATGAGTAAAATTGCTTGGTTTATCGTAGGAAGCTGAAATTCTCATGGGGATTTTAAGTTACCACGCGGAGGGAGGGGAAGGGGAGGCGGTTTGATCGGGGGAAGGTAAGCAACTTTTTCCGTTTTATGGCAAGTAAAACTTTCTACTGGACTTTGTATGCTTGTGTCTACTAAGCAAACCTTCAAGTTATATCTACTTTCCATGTATTTGGATGTCGACCCAACAATTATTGATAGTCTAAGTCAAATTGAAAACAATTTGGTCATAACTTGTTGAGATGTTCAAAGCAGTAAAGCACATCTTTGCCCTCATATTTAAAATTGTAGAGTGTATCCTTTTCTTAAATATCATAACCTTATGTTCGTTGTTCAAAGAGTCCTGTAATTGTCAATATGGGTCTTATGGGTACTTATTTTTCCAAATAATGTGAAAAAGATAATGTAGGTCAAAGATGTGTCTCAAAGGCTTACATCTGTCAATTGGGAGTCATTTGGTTGACATACTGTGTAATCTGTACATCTCCAGAAGTAGAAACTTGAAATTGTTTAGTTGACTAGAATAAAAGTACAACTTGTTGGGAAGTTCTATTTTCTATAAGGGTTAGCTGTTTATCCTTTACCTAGCCCCTTCGAGTAAGTGGAACTTCATGGTAGTTAACTTACCAGATTTAGGCACTCATAAGGCTATAGGAATTTGGGCTACAACTTTGCAGGACTTACAATGTCTAATTTTTTTGGGAAGTGACCTGCATGTGTCCTCTTTACATGGGACATATTGGTGCAAAGTTTAATCTAAATTCTAAACAATTATCTTTATATTTTTAGGGCATTTGCTATAGTTTCAGCATAGCAGCAAATCCATGTCGAATTTGTCAATGTATCTGCCTATCTTTCTCATCCTAGACAACATTCACTTAGTGCAAGTGGGAAAGAAGTGGATTTTTAAGCAGCCCTTTTCAAAGTCTAGTATCTTTGAGATTTTTTATCTTAAAATTTGAGATGGTTAGTAAGGATTTTCTAAGCTTGATTGAAAACAAGTGATTTGAAGGAGACCTAGACTAACAGTTAGCTGTACTTTACCCTTGTCTCATGGTCCGGAGTACATCTTTGAAAGCTTTGGCATAGAGAAAATATGAGAGACAACCGCACCAGCTGTTTATTTGTTCAAAAATAAGAGATTAGTGAATTTCTTCGTTTTCCAAATCAGGCTAAGCGCTTTCTGATTAATCTCCCGAAACATTTGGTATTAGTTATTATTGTTTGGACCAAGGAACTTTGTTTGTGGTTTATATATATCAAGCTATCAACTTAACTATGTATTTGATTATTGAATCAAATATCCCTAAAATTATGTATTTTTGATTATTGAATGAAATATCCCTAAAATTATGAGCGTAATTTGATTATTGAATCAAATATCCCTAAAATTATGTATTTTTCGAGATAATCGAATATGAAATTAAATCTCTTTTCCCTGGGCCTAGGGCGGCCGCCCCTCCTGCCCTGAGACTTATCTACATTTCTACTGTTACTAATTCTAAGAGTATTTTTTTAAACTTGACACAAATTATACGTGCATCTTATATTCTTATGTCTTAACCAAAGTTGCATTTTATATTCTTATGTCTTAAGTTCTTAACTAATGTTAAATTTTACATTACTTGACAAAATCATTCAAGACCATGCTGCAATATTGTCTTGAGTGTAAACTACTTAATTGAGCTGACAATGCCAGGCTTTATTTCTCGAATATTTCAGTGATTTTAGCTCTCTGCAAGGGAGGGAGAAAAACATGGGACTGGTTTCCTTAGCTTAGGGATGAACATCTTGAATCTTTCCGGGTGCTATTGGAAGTGTAAAAGGACATTTTTCAAATCCACAGTGTACTTTACCATTTTGCAGACACTTTTTCAATTCAGGAGCTTCAGTATTCATAGACTAAAACAAAGCAGTGATATCAAAAGTCTGAACAAGGCATTGAGAATTATTGATCTTGTGTCTCCAAAATCCACCTATGTCAGTAATAACCAACATTGCCATCTTCAACTTATTCAGGACTTGCTACAAACGCATTCAAAGAATCTTAGTGAAGTTAAAGCATCCAATGACTTTGCAAATCCATTTTTCGGAAACCAAAATCCACCTGATCAAATGCTTCCATCTTTCTCTTTCAAGGATGATGTGATTTCAGGAGTTTTTAAACTACATAGGGAAGGGTTTAGAATTGATGTCACATTGCTTCCACATGCACTAAGTATTTGTGGCTATAGGGGGAATCTTCATTGTGGAACTCAGCTTCAGTGCTTAGCTATCAGAAATGGGTTGATTGTAAATGTCTATGTTGGAAGCTCTTTAATTAGCATGTACTCAAAGTGTGGGGACTTATGCTCTGCTTCTATGGCGTTTGAGGAGATGCCTGTGAGAAATGTTGTATCATGGACTGCTTTTATATCTGGATTTGCTCAAAAGTACCAAGTTGATGTCTGTTTGGAGCTATATAGCCAAATGAGACATTCATCTCTTGAACCTAATGATTATACACTAACAAGTCTCTTGAGTGCATGTGTTGGTAATGGCTCTCTTGGACAAGGAAGAAGTGCTCATTGTCTGGCCATTCTTTCGGGTTTTGATTCATATCTTCATGTTGTCAATGCTCTTGTCTCAATGTATTGCAAGTGTGGTGATGTCGAAGATGCATTTTCTATATTTGAATCAATTCATGATAAAGATATTGTTTCTTGGAATTCCATGATTTCAGGGTATGCGTTGCATGGACTAGCTTGGAAAGCAATTGATCTCTTTGAGGAGATGAAAAGGCAGAAAATGAAGCCCGACAGTATTACATTTCTAGGTGTTCTCTCATCATGTCGTCATGTTGGACTTGTTAAACAAGGTCATATGTATTTTGATTCAATGGTAGAATATGGTGTGGAGCCTGATTTGGGCCATTACTCATGCATTGTTGATCTTCTTGGTCGAGCTGGCTTGATTGATGAGGGTCGGAATTTAATTTTGGACATGCCAATAAAGCCCAATGCCATCATATGGGGCTCGCTTCTTGCTTCGTGTAGGCTTCATGATAATGTATGGATTGGTATAGAGGCTGCTGAGAACAGGCTTGCACTAGAACCTTCGTGTGCTGCCACCCATGTGCAGCTTGCAAAGTTATATGCAAGAGTTGGAATGTGGGACCAGGTGGCAAAAGTTTGGAAAATGATGAAGGACACCGATCTCCAATTAAATCCCGGATACAGCTGGATTGAGATAGGGAATGAAGTCCTCAGCTTTAAAGCAGATGACACTACCAACTCCAGAATGAATGAGGTTTTCTGTATGTTGGAGGGTTTGAAGTGTCAGCTCAAATCAGATCATGTGCCCGAATCTCACGAAGAGTTTGATATTTATTCCTGCACAAATATTTCATGATGAATGGGCAGAATTATGCTAATACACAAATTTGTTCAGCTGCTGCATGTGTCCAGCCATCCACTAATTGATTTTGTGAGGTACATGCATCCTTCTATTGGAGCACAGTTTTCAATGAGATGTTTTTGTTTCAATTTTTTCATGATGACAACCAAGTTTACTGCCTTTGTTTCTGGTTCTTTTGTTTAGCCCACCTACATTTTATAGTTTGTCTTGGACTCTTGGTGTACCTTTGTGGCCTTGTGCATGCTATGTACTAAGGGTGCGTTCTATTCACCTGATTTTCTCATATTTGAATTTAATAGAACTTAACTGAAATGATCTGACTTGAATTGAACTTATCTTTTATGGACTTATTTGAAATTAGTAAAAGTAAGGTGAACAAAATATGGCCTAATAGTAGCAAGTAATTAGTTTGTAAATCAAAACACCATTACATTACAATTCTTAATTAGCCTGGTAGGCTGTTCATGTTATCAGGCAGGGACCTATACATATCCATACACATTCAGTCAAGTATAGTCTCCACTCTGATGATTATGCTCTGCTCTAAATTCTCAATTGGCTTTTCCGTAGTTTTTTCTGGATGTCAATTGACTTGATATTGGATTCTGGTAAATCTGTTGTGCATGTAGTTTCTTCAAGAGATCTGTTCTTAATTGAGAAAATTTGACTTTAGGTGTTCAATCTCTCGTCGAATCTGGAAAAATAGAAGTTCTCATGCATCTGGCAAAAACCAAGACATGAAGACAAGATATGTTGGGTTTACCAGCCCCTATGGGATATGCTGGTTGTCTCTGCTCTGTTCTGCTCTACCTCAGCATGTAACCCTCCACAATGACACGGTAGCAACACATAGCTTCTTGGAAGAAGTAAGCAAATCATTGTTGATTTTCACAGTCCTGAGTTCATTTCCCATAGTGATAACTAATCCTGGTCCGTCAATACCTAGAAAACATCTGCTTGCAGACATTTCAGAATTGGGTTGTTTGTCCAGATTTTGGGGATCTTGTTAGGGATATAGGTAGTGGAGTTTTGAAGTATGTAGACATTTAGTCATGTATGTAATTCTCATAATATCTGCAAAATTTTGTTATGTTATGAATAACACATATGTACTCCCAATAAGCAAAGTTGAATAAAACTGAATCCATTTCTTGCACAGTATACTCGCTGAACAACTTTGAATCTCGCACACTCTCATGTAACCTAATTGATTTGATAGTGCATGACTTGTTTATAATTTTAACATCATAACGTGCACATCCATTTATTATAGTTGTTCAATTGTTGCTAAATTTATTTAACATTTATAATGCATTTTTTTTTTTTTTTGAGTCTCATCTGAAGGTAACCCTGCCGTAGAATGTCAGAGAATTCCTCTGCTGTACTTCATCTTGTTTTTGACCTCATAAACATTTAGTGTCTGAAGAACAGTTTCACAACATTTTTTCTTTGTAGTATTTGGCTGATGACAGATTCTCTTTCTTTGTGAATATCTCCCCGCCCTATTTTAGGAATCAGGAATGCAGGATGCCGCAATTATTGAACCAAAAGTGTATTATGGTACGAGTAGTTAGAAGTCCTTATCAATTATGACTCCAGTCAGGTAAAAGTGGTAATTTGAAGGGAACAGGGTTTATATTTTTCTTTTGCTGATAAAGCTATTGTGAGTCATTTTTTACTATCTAAAGAAACTTCTTGGAAACAGGGGAAAAATGATAGGGGGAAGGAATTTGGAAACATCCAATATTCATATTTTTATTTCTCTGCTATGAAAAACCCAAAACAAATGATAAGTTTATAGTCCCTATTGACCTTTACTTAATAATATAGTGCATAAAATTTGCGGTTGAAATCGAGCTTCAGAGGCCATTATTGACATAAAATTAGCACTGTTAACATATTCTGTTTGTTACTCTGTGACAGAAAAAAGTGATGACTTCCTAGGTTTGGTGTGTGGTAAATGGCTTTATGCCATTCTGGATTTCTTTTATAATTTGCAAGTTCAAATTTAGGTAAACCTGGCAGCAGGTAACATAACTCATTTGGGGGGGGGGGGGGGATGGATTGCAAGCAGTAGTATTATGAAATTTTCCGGGTTAGTCCACTTCGTCCTCTTATTATATACACCTACAATATTTTGGAAGCTTGTTTATAGGCATGAAATATAAATTAGTGAGGAGGAAATAAAAAGAGAGAGAGAATGGTTGGCTGGTTTACATCTGTGGAAAATAAGCAAGGACTGAAATATTGGGATGATTAAGCATGTTGATATATTTCTTGAACAAGTCTTTGGTGAGATTGTCTCATAAAATTACATCTTGGTCATCACCTGTAGAATATTTCATAGCAGACTAGAAATTTGAACATCAGGAAGTCCTTTCGAACGATGTTGCTGGAAAGACTAGAAATTTATTTAGACCAAAGACGGGAAAAGCAGAAGGCAGATAGCTAAAATTAGCTTGTGTGCGTAGTGCTAGATTATTATACTCTTGAGTCTCTGATGTCTGCAACGAATTTGAATGCCACAGATGTTATTAGTATTTTGTACTATAAAATAGAGTATGCATCATAAAAGAGAAAGTCTGTAATTCAGTAAAGATGTCAGCTTGCTAAAGATAGTATGCATCATCTAATATAATTTCTGCTTTCAGTTGTCTAAAATTACATATTCTGATCATGTGGTAGGTTTACAAATGTACTGTATGTTCATGTATTCATTCTTCTATAATGTAATGCATGATTGTTGTACTCTGCAAATTTATAGAGTTACTTGTTCGGTAAAATCAGATTACAGCAATTCATCTCCAAAAGAGGGAAGGTACTTCAGCCCATTACTCCAGCAATAGGAAATTACAGTTATGCTCGACTTGCTGTAAAATAAAAAACTATTTTTAGGTACGCTTGGATGTATGCATGCTTTGGCTTAAGACCTACGAAATATTTCAGAATTTAGAGATGGGGTAAACGTTTCTCCTGTGTTTATTTTATGTATAATCTTTGGAAGGTTTTATGAATTTCTTGCATTCAAATGTTCATTAAAACTTCAACCGAAAAATAATATTGAAAGGAGAGTGAACATCTATTTAGAGAATTAGAGATATTTCATAACAGAAACCGGCAAATTCATCTTTGTTATGCCCGATAATAATGACATACTCCGTATACAAGGTGAACCTTACTGTTTGGGTCCAATTTAGTCCAATTGGGCTTAGGCATTAAATGATCCAATTAAAAGCCCAAGGTCAAGGTTCATCTCTCCAATTGTGCTAAAGTCAAAGATCAGTCCTCAAGGCAAGCCAATTGGGCTAAGGCCCAACTTCTCCATGTATGCAGAGGTATAAAAGCCATCAATATTACATTTGTACATTTCATTCAAGCAAAGCCTCAAGCAATTAATTCTCTTGCATAGTGTTCTCTCTCTACGCACTGTACTGACTTTAGCATCGGAGGGGCCTTCCTCGGCAACACCCCCGAGGCTAGTTTACGTGTGTTTACTGTGCAGGAAACCTTCGGCCCAACATTTCTTGGATCGAATCTAGTCTTCACCACTTCATCGGACCTTCGGCAAGGTCCCATTGTTTTCACCCGAAACAATTTGGCGCCGTCTGTGGGGAAGACTTTAAAAAATCTTTAAGCCAAATTTCTAACCAAGATCATCTTGCAATTATCTTAGTAGCAATGACTAAGAACCGCAAGAGCAAAGGCCTCCGTCAAGGAGCGGGCGAAAAGCCTAAAACCCCTACACCATCACCCTCGCCGGACCGGAACTCTCCCAAGGGTGCCAGCTCGGGGGGAGGATCATACAGGGAGGATTCCCTTTCTCCCGTAATTCATGACTCTCATCATAGGCCGAGTCATTCTCGGTCTAGCAGGGGTGAGTCCGATCATAGGACACATTCAGTGCCCCAAAGCCAACCATCGACTGTGCGCCATCATTCCCATACTCGGCCGAGGACCCCTTTGACGGGGCCCAGCTCGGAGGAGGTGGCAAGAGCGCTGGCAGTGCTCATGGAGGCGATGAGGGCACAAAATATGCCACCACCTCGTGATCGAACTCCTCCGCATACCCGGCATCAACGGAGGAAGCTAGACCATGATGGTGGGAAGCTTCCTTCCTTCCGGGAACTGGAAGAGTGGGAAGAGGATACCTGGAAAAATGAAAAAGAGAGGAAAAAGAACCCTCAATTTTTCAAAGGATCCTCATCCTCCCGACCAGAAACGCATAAGAGCAGCAGCTCAGCTTCTCGGCCAGAATCTACTCACCGAGAACAACCTGAGACTGTTCGCCGAAGCGTCCTCGACCGACTCGGCGGCAAGGAACCGAGCGTGCGCAGTCGCCTCTCGTTCCCTGCGGCCGAGGCCCAGACTTCCCAGCCAGGGACAAAAACCACTCCTACCTCTCTAAGAGGGTGGAGCGCGGTCCCTTCGGCCAGGAACAAGGGCAAGGCCGTTATGCTACCCGCCAGTTCGCCATTCGAGCAATGGATACTGGAAGAGCACGTGCCCACAGTTAAAATACCGTCGCACATCACATATGACGGGACCTCGGATCCGAAGGACCACGTGGCCTCGTATGAGACTCATATGCATCTTTGCCCCAGATCCGAAGCGACTTGGTGCAAATATTTCCCAACCACTCTCAAGGGGGTCGCGCAAGCGTGGATCTCCAAGGGAGTAAAGCAAGGCTCCATAACAGGGTGGGATGATCTGTCCTCCAAATTTAGGAGCAAGTTTTCCACGGCAAACCGCCGAGAGAAGACTACTGCAGAACTCATGAGTCTGCAACAGGGGGAAACCGAAGGCCTCCGAGACTATCTGACCCGTTTCAGTAACGAGTCATCCAGCGTCTCTCAGCTGGACCAGGGGCTAGCCGTATTTGCAATGCAGAATGGCCTTCAGCCCGGGAAGTTCCTAGACTTCATGGTCATGCATACCCCGCAGACCTTGGAGGAAGCTCTGAATGCCTCGGATAAGTTCATCCGAGCCGAAGAATAGAACAAAGCAAAAACCCAACCTCAATTCGGGGGAGGGAAACAAAGACAAATACCCTTGTCTGAAGGCCAAGGCCATAAGGCAAAGGGAAAGTCAAAGGCCTCGGAGCAATCTTCGGCCAGCGACCCAAAGAAGGAAAAATCTGCCTCATACACAGGCAGATACGAGTCCTACACTCCGCTCTCTCTTCCACGCGCCAAAATTTACAGCGTGACGAAGGAGGAGCAGAGTTACCGAAAGCCGAGACCACTCCCAGAGTGGTATCAGCGAAAAAATAAAAATCAGTGGTGCGAGTTCCACGAGTCTCCGGGACACAACACTGAGGAGTGTATCCAACTGAAGGACCAGATAGAGGACATGGGCCGGAAGGGATACTTGAAAAAATACATCGCGGATCACCGCGAGAAAAAAGAGTCCGAGAAGTCAGCAAAGGACTCTCGGCAAGACCTCGACTTCCCCCGAAAGAACAGTAAAAAGCCGGAGGGGAAATTCTCTCCGATCAATGTTATCTCGGGAGGAATATTCTCTCGGAGGGAGCACAGGCGACACCTTAGGGCTTTGACTCACCAGGTGAACAACGCTGACATTCAGTCTCCCCAATCGCCGGTGCCGAACATGACGTTCACAGCCGCCGACTGCCGGGGGATAACGTTCCCTCACGAGGATCCGTTGGTGATCATCGCCACGGTGGCCAACCACGACGTCAGTAAGGTCCTTGTTGACGGTGGCAGCGGAGCAAACATTCTGTTCCGGAAGGCCTACAATCAAATCAAGCTGAAGCCCAAGCACCTTACGCCGGTACCCTACCCGGTATCCGGGTTTAACGGGGCTTCAACTTATCCAGATGGGAAGGTGACACTTCCTATCACCATCGGCTGCGATGAGGCAACCAGGAACGTCATGATTGAATTTTTGGTCATTGACGCTCCTTCAGTGTACAACGTGATTTTGGGGAGACCCATAATTCATGAGATCCAAGGGGTCGTCTCAACTTATCATCAGCTGATGATTTACGTCTCAGACGCCGGCTTCCCCGAAAGGATACAGGGCAACCAAAAGGACGCCCGAAGGTGCAACTACCTCAAGCCATCCAGTAGTCGCCCAGATGACGACAAGGATGAGGAGGAGAAAGAAAAAGAAAGAGAGCCAAGCACAAAAAGGTCGAAAGGCCTAAGTGCTTCGGCCCAAGGATCTGAACCCAGAGGTAAAGGGCCCGAAAGGGAAAAGGCTAGCTCTTCAGCTGAACAGCAAGA